TGCCAGTGTGGACACGAATCCTGGCCTCGACCTTTTCTCTACCATTCGACAGATTGTTCGTGAGGAACTGTCGCACCGAGAAATGTCGTGTTCGACAGCTGACCATCGCGAGTTGTGTCTGCCACGTGAGGCTATGGATGTGCCTCCTTTGACCCAATGGCAACCGACGATGAGCGCGGCAACTGTGCAGTACAGCCCAGCCCCACAGTCAAGAATGACAACCAGATTTCCCGCGTCGCGGTATGACCGACGCTCTCGGCGCATGCCTCCTCGACGCCCGACGTCTCGGTACGACGCACCCAACCAGTACATCCGTCACACAAGAGCAAATGATGACGCTGTATTCATCGACGAGCGACCGACGTTTCGACCTCGGCCGGTGTGCTATTCCTACGGTGTGCCAGGCCACATATCGCGATTTTGCAACCGTCGGGTGACTCCTCGGTATCACCAACCATACGATTTTTCACGACCCTTCGAACAGCCTCATGGTGTCCGGCGGCCGGCCCACATACCACCTGATGACAACTATTGGCCCAGCAACTTCCGCAACTACTCCCCGGCATCTGACAGGAGTTTAACGCCCCCACCGCGACCTCGTGCTCATCGTTCTCCTTCACCGCTGCGTCGCAAAGCGCCCTCTTCGCCACCGGAAAACTAGCCAGCGCGGCCAATGGGGGTGAGGTCGCTGGAAACGTGCTACTAAGAGAAATACCTCCTGTGTGTATGTTTAAAAACAAAGTGCGTGTTTTGGTGGATCATGTGCCTGTGATGGCGTTGGTGGACACAGGTGCAACGATTTCAGTGATGAGTGGTTCTTTTAAAGACGTGTTAGGGCGGAAAGTTGTTTTTACCTGGGATGAAACTTCGACGTTCTGTGGAGTGAGTGGAGAGCCATTGCGCCCTATTGGTGTGTGTAGTGCTGACGTATTTTTGGGAGGCCTTATGATAACGACAGAGTTTGCGATTATTCCTCGGTCGACACATGATGTCATTCTCGGCATGGACTTCTTGCGAGAATGTGGTGCCACTGTAGACTGTCGCACGGGGAAAGTCTTTGTGAGTGGCCAGATGCCTTCAGAACTTCTGGAAACTCCAGCGAATGACCAAACTACGCTGTGTGTCTGTGGCGATACGTTCATACCTGCGTTGTCTACCGTACGTGTTCCTGTTGTTTGTCGCGGCGCTGATTCTGACAGCTTCGATGCGAGCGTAGAACCAATGCACATAAACTGCGTGAAGAAGAATGTGTTGGTTCCCCATTGTGTGGTGTCGATTGATGGCGGAAGAACTGGCCTATGGACTTTAAACTGTTCCTCTGAGCCCGTGACCTTACCCAATGGTTTGAAATTAGCTTCGGTCAGCAAAGAACACGCGACCTTATCAGGGGTCGAGCTCACAGACGTGCCGGAAGAACGTGACGGAACTGGTTGTCACAATTTAGACGGGGCGCTTATGGCCACGATAAATAAGTCGCTTAGCTCAAGCGAGCGCCGAACTTTAATGAATGTGCTGTTGAAGCACGTTTCGGTATTTGACTTTGCGCAGAAGGGCAAAGTAATCCCTATCCCCCTGTCTCGAACGCGCCATACCATCAACACTGGCGCGGCAAGTCCGATTCGCCAAAAACCATATCGTGTTTCCCCGTCAGAAAGACAAATTATCAACGACCAAGTGCAGGAAATGATGCAAAAGGGAGTAGTACAAGAGTCAGCCAGTCCGTGGGCAGCACCGGTAATCCTTGTTAAAAAGAAGGATGGATCTTGGAGATTTTGCGTCGACTATCGCCGACTGAATGCCGTGACTAAAAAGGACGTATACCCGCTGCCCCGTGTAGAGGACGCAATAGACTGCTTACATTCGGCCTCTTATTTTTCCTCCGTAGACTTACGATCCGGTTATTGGCAAATTCCGATGCACCCAGAGGACAAAAAAAAGACTGCCTTTGTAACTCCTGATGGGCTCTATGAATTCAACGTAATGCCGTTTGGACTGTGCAATGCACCGGCAACCTTCGAGAGGTTTATGGACACCATTCTGCGTGGCTTGAAGTGGAACATTTGCATGTGCTACCTCGACGACGTCATCATCTTTGGCCGCACGTTCAGTGAACACAACTCTCGTCTGGATACTGTTTTGAACTGCATCCGAAACGCTGGCCTAATTTTAAACTCGAAGAAATGCCACTTCGGAGACCGCCAGACGCTTGTGCTCGGGCATCTCGTTGACAAGGATGGCATCCGCCCTGACCCCCAGAAAACAGCAGCAGTTGAGGCGTTCAATGCGCCGCGTTCCGTCAAGGAGCTTCGTAGTTTCCTGGGGCTTTGTTCGTACTTCCGCCGCTTTATTCCGAAGTTTGCCGACGTGGCGTATCCTCTCACATGCCTCTTACGAAAGGACAATTCCTTTGAGTGGACTCCGGAGTGCGATTCTTCATTCCGTCAATTGAAGTTTTTGCTGACGTCACGACCCGTCCTTCAGCACTTCAGTCCTTCTGCTCCGACAGAGCTTCATACGGATGCTAGTGGCATAGGTATTGGCGCCGTCCTAGTACAACGTTACGGCGACCGCGAACACGTCATCGCATACGCAAGTCGCTCCCTAAGCAGGCCGGAACAAAACTACACTGTTACGGAACAAGAATGCCTGGCGGTATTATTTGCAATTCAGCGGTTTAGATCTTACCTGTACGGACGCCCATTCACAGTCGTAACCGACCATCACTCGTTGTGTTGGCTTGTCAACCTTCGTGACCCTTGTGGTCGCCTTGCGCGCTGGGCACTCCGGCTACAAGAATACAGTTTTACCGTCGCTTACAAGAGTGGTCGTCGACATGCTGACGCGGACTGTCTTTCACGTATGCCACTTAGTACAACAGACTGTGAATCCGATGACCTTGACCAGCTTGTAGCGTCTGTGTCGCCTACGTTCCCGGACTATCCCAGTTTCAGAGCAGAACAGCGGAAGGATGCTAAACTGGCACCACTCTTCGCCGCTGCATCCGCTTCTACTAGTGCCCGCCGTTTCTGTATGCGTGATGGACTGTTGTTCAAAAGGAACCTCTCCAGTAGTGGCGCGCGTTTTCTTCTAGTGGTCCCGGAGAGCCTGCGAACAGTTATTATGAGTGTCATGCACGACGACCCTACATCTGGACATTTAGGTTTGGCGCGGACGCTTCACCGGACTAAAGAGCGCTTTTATTGGCCTGGTATGCAGAAGTCTGTTGAGAGCTATGTGGCAAGCTGCATGCAATGTCAGCGTCACAAACGTCCATCAACTGGTCCAGCTGGTCTTCTGCAGCCGATGCCTACTCCAGGCGCACCTTTTGAACAAGTGGGCATTGACTTTCTGGGCCCCTTCCCAAAATCGGCTAAGGGCAACCGATGGATAATTGTTTGCGTCGACTACCACACACGCTACTGCGAGACGGCGGCCGTCCCCTCCGCAACTGCCAGTGAAGTCTCGTCGTTTTTGTTACAGTACGTCATCCTCCGACATGGCCCACCTCGCCTGATTATCAGTGATCGTGGACGACAATTCACAGCGGATGTCGTGGAGGAGCTACTCCGTTTATGTGAATCCTGCCTGCGTCACTCGACACCATACCACCCCCAAACTAATGGGCTGACGGAGCGTACCAACCGCACCATTATCAACATGTTGTCTATGTATGTTTCCTGCGACCACAAGAACTGGGATGACGTACTCCCTTTCATTACTTACGCGTTCAACACCGCGAAGCATGAGATTACAGGCTATAGCCCTTTCTTTTTGCTTTATGCCCGTTCGCCCCGGTACACAATCGACACGATATTGCCTTTCTGTGACCACGACAACGTCACTGTCGCCGAGACTCTCTGCCTCGCCGAAGAGGCGCGTCGCATAGCTCTACTGCGCACATTGGCATCGCAAGACAAGGCGAAGGCACGCTATGACATTCACCATCGACCAGTGATTTATCGCCGTGGTGATCTGGTGTGGTTGTGGACTCCGATGCGCAAGCGCGGGTTATGCCAAAAGTTTTTGGCCACTTACGATGGACCTTTTGTGATTGTCGACAGACTTACAGAGGTCAACTATGTAATAGCTCGTCTCACGGCGAGTGGTCGACGAGCTGCCAAAACTCAAGTGGTTCATGTTGCCCGCCTGAAACTTTACACGCCACGACAACTCGACTGACTCGTCCGGCGGCCTTCGTCTGCGCGGAGAGGAATGTTGCGTATATGCACGAAGAAAAAGAAGCGTATACGGTGAACGCACTTGTCGCCCAGAGCGAGAGAAGAAGAAGAGGATCAGGAGGATCGTTACCCAGTCGGCCGCTTCTGAGCTGCCCCTCGCGACCTAATAAACGGCCCCTTTCAACGTCTACCAGTCTCTTTCAAACGTAACAATATTGTGTGTGTTATTTATTATATTTAATCAAAACTTGATTGATAATATCCTAATCGCGAACACAAAGTTTGATGGTCTGCTAAAACTTTTCAGCAAGGAAATTAAAAAAAAGGGCTCTGTTACCCCCTGGAGTATCAATCTGGGAATCATCATAGTTAATTTCACAGTTCCAGCACCTTTTGAAAGTTCTCCAGGCCTGGAATAAGAGAACCATGTGCACTACCCTGATATTCTGCTGTAACTTGAAAACCAGTGAACATAACTTGATGAAATTTTGTAGTTCTTCTAATGCTTTTGCTATGAGTCTATCCTGAAAATTTCATTAAGATATCTCAATAAACAAAAAAGTTGGTATCCGATGGTAGCCTCCCCCCTTAAGGCTACGAAATATCGTGATAACTTCTTGGCTATCAACAAGAGCGGTAATTTCATTTAAGATTTCCATTTACTGAAAGATTTACGTTTTTGCTGCTGTCTGGAAGCCAAAACCACATGAATGTGAGCTAAAAAGACGACAGTGTAAAGCTTAAATCAATGTACATTTCATTTCACGGGAATAGTTTATGCAGCAGCTCTTAAAGCAGCTACTTACGGTCACACCCACTCACCTGCATGATGAGGGCTGCTTTCTCCTGGTCTTGCGCAGAAATGACTGGGTTTGCTGCTGGGGCAGGGGGACCCGGGCGTCCTCCAGACCCACCCGCTGCCATGCGCGGGTCGTCCCTGGGGCCTCCAGGGGCACTAAAGGGCCCACGATTGCGGGGGTCAAATGGCGCCCCGGGTCGGAAGCGTGGGTCTGTTCGCAGGTCTTGGTCCTCAAGGTGTGGCTGCTGGCGCATGTCGCGGTCGCCCATGGGGGGCATGGTACGCAAATCACGGTCACCCCGAGGGTCCAGGCGAGGGTCAGGTCCACCCCTGCCAGGACCCAGAGAGCCCATCACTGCACATAAGGGGATCCTTAATTAGGCATGGGCCAATATTTGAGTACTTGAAGTGCTCAAACGAATGTTGCAGTATTTGGCTTTGATGCAACATGTATATAAATTTTCCGAAATTTCTAAGTACTACAAAGAAATTAATAGCATTTTAGAGATCGGTTTCAGTGCTGCCATACTAAGCTGTAGCCTCGTTGCCATCAACTAAATGAACATCACTACAGTAGACAAGTGAAAACGGTATCAGTTGGTTCATTCGGCAATTCATGACCTTATTAATTCATGTCACGAGAACAAGAAAACATTTTTTTTAACAGTAGTAGTAGTAGTAACAGTAGTAGTAGTGTAACAGTAGTAGTAGTAGTGGCGCCCCTGTGTCTTATGTAAAATTATCTACACTACCACAAATAGCCTGCCTCCTTTCACACTGAAAAAATGGTGTCACAGCAGCATGAGCTTTCTATGCCATGAAACCATAAAAGTGAATCTGTCCAACAAGCTCTTGCATTTCTGATTCCCTTGCAAACATACAGTAACACCCTGTAAGTCATTTTGTTATCATGTTGCAAGTTTCTATTTGTCAAATAAATTAATGCCTTAGTAACCTTTCTGCATCCACAGTCTTTGCCGAGAGTACACTGTCTACCCAAAGTGTTGCGACTGAAGCTGAATCCAGGAAGCACGATAGAAATCAAGTTGAACTATCAGCATTTCAAGTAGACTTGGCAGAACTAGCCAAGTCTTCTGGATCAAAGGTTCCACACACCGGAAACCTTCGAGTGCTAAAAGCAGCTCTGATTATCTACGGAGTCGTCTGCATACGCTCCTGGCAGAGGCAGCACTGGGACACTACCTACATAGAAATATTAAACTGGAGTACTACACGTGATTAGCGTAATGATACTCACCGCGGGGATCAAATGGATTGCTTCTGATTGGATCAGGTACTGACGGTCGCTCTCCAAGCAACGATGCTCTCGCAGGTGCTGAAAACAAACAAACAAAAAAAAAACACTACATGAAGGATCAGACTCAAGGGTACACAAAAATACAATGCAAGAACTATGTTAAAAGGACTCTAAACCATTCCTTCTGAAACAACCGGCTAGAAGAAATGCAATACCTCCCGAAAATTCTCCAATGATATCCATCTTTTGTCAGTCGATTCCATTTCATCACTTATTTCATTGCTATATTCGACTCCATTTTCTCTCCCTCTGTGCAAATGCTGTAGCTGTAATAGACCACTAGGCTTGTGCGAGTATCCCAAATAAACAAAAAAATGAATAATGATTCGCATGCAACCCCCTGTAAAGATGGTTTCACTGCAGTAGACTGGTGCTTTACCGTGAAGCCCCAGTCAAAGCTAAATAAACATATTACCTTACATCGATAGATAATATTTTAAGTTTAAAAGCCTGTTATACCGGTTTATATGCTCTAAAGTATAGTAGATTTTAAAACATAACATATTTTACAGGTTATCACATGCATACTAGTGAAAGTTAAATCGTGCTACTATTCAAAGTTGCTTCCACTTCATTTGAACCAAAAAGTATGACATTTGCACATGTCTTGTAAGAATTAAAAAAAATATTGTGCAGGTTAGTTGGGTGACAAGTATGCTCATTTTTCTTCATTATATGCGATACATACAATTTGAATTCAATTCAGAATTCGGATGCAATCGCTATATGCACAAGCCTATAGACCACCATTTAGCTGCACCATTACATGGCTCACAGAACTCCATTCTCTAAATAACAACCATTACAAATTCTGGATACTGTCCTTGTTTGCTCTCTCTTCCTCACTGCCGTACTGCCTTATTTAAGCATTATACGTATAGTTTTATTGCAATAGCAATTATATGGACACACTCGGCTGGATTTTGCCGCCGGCATGGCTGTCGTGCACCGTATATGTATACGTATCTATATATGTGAAAACGCAAGAAAGAAAAAAATCCAGAAAAAAACTCTGTCGCGCGGAATCGAACGTGGGACCTCTGCGTTGTGAAAGCGAGGCGTTAACCACTGAGCCACTCTGCAGAATGTTCTTCATCGTTCAAGTGGCAAGCTATTTATATGTAATACTTACTGCTGCTGTGTTTCCGGCATTACCAGAAAGATGGCGCAGTGAGCGCACATCGCACAGCAGCGCCCGCTCTAATCTCTTACGCGTAGTTTGCTCGGCTTAGAGCAGGGGAGATACAATCCTCACGCGCCCTTATCTCGTGGTGGCGAGGAGGGAAGGATCGTACACCTTGGATGGCCTCTGGCTTTACGTGGAACGATTCTGCAGCAGTTACCTGTTGCCAAAGGTCACTGCAGTCATTGCAGTCTCCGTTCGCTAAAGCGTGCGCTTTTCAGACTCAGCAAAGTAACAAATGAGACGCTTATTCGGATGCATCCGTACCTGTGAGCACGTTTCATGCTCAATTTGTGCGCGAAAAACGCAGGGCACTTTTCGATCTGCTTTCCATTCTGCGCGTGACCTTTTAAATTGTTGCTATCGCGTTCATTGCTTCATCTTTGCGGCAAAGCTGTGACTTTTTTGACTCAATCCCTGGTTATGTTGCCTGTAGCTTTCTTCCGAAGCCTCTTTCATTCGTCTTGAGGCTCCTGCTCTGTCACGAATGTACACCAAACCAGTCGTTGCACCAGAAGTTGGCAACGGCAATATTTGATTGATTGATATGTGGGGTTTAACAACAGCAATATTTAATTGTTCACAGTTCCAGTTGCCTATTAAGAGAGACAATCATCCATCCATTTTTCAACTGCAATATCTTAGTTTCATGAGCCTACTTCTATGCTTATCAGACGCTTACTTCCTTGCTGCTTCTCTTAATTTGCCTCACTCATCGATATTTAGCACAAGATAACAAACAGTAACCAACAAGCCCCCTTGACCACATTTCTTGAATTTTGAGGCGTTGACAAAAAGAACCAAAGCATGCTGGCAAGGTTGCAGAAGCCAGGTATACGCAACAAAGCTGGTCAAGTACAATAAAATTGTAAATTTGTTCAATGAATGCCCACAGTACAATGAAGAAATTGAAAACTGGATGTGGATAAACAACAAGAAAAAACGAAATTAAAGTATATTAAAGTAATTAATCCACCGAACTATAGCACGCAGCTACAAATGAAGCCTCACAGCCAAAAGAAAAAAAAAAGCCCTGGTCAGGGATTCAAATTTCAGACCAGCAACTTTTAGGTTTTCACATAATATGAACTGACCAGAATGTTGGTAAATCGAAGATTCAAGCGGAGTTATTCCCATAACCAGAAACAAGGGAAATCGGCCCACAAGGTTGTGCAAAGTTCATAGACGGGAACATAGAGATTGTCATTCCTACCCAATTAAGTACACTACAACTTTCTCTACTGATCCCACGACAACATTCACCTTGCTTTAAACTATCCTTATGAAAAACCTTGCAAGGGTACTTGACTAAAGTGTACACAGTTTGAACATACCACCAAATCCCGCGTCTGAAAACGGAGAGTCGGCTGGAAAGCCCGTACCTCCAGCTGGCCCTCCCAAGGGACCCATTCCCTGCAGAAAGCAAAGAAAAAAAAAAAGTGGCAGAGAGACCTGTTAAGAAAAAAGCAGCTGAAAGTATGGCGCAAAAGTACAAGGCAAAACCTCATTACAATTAACATGAATGGTATGACAAAGTACTGGACATAATGAAGGAAATCCAAGATTTGATAGGCTATGCTTTACATTAGTGAGTATTTGACTGCTATAATGAAACAGAAAATGAATGGTACAAGACAATATCAGTTGCACAGTAAATGAAACGCTTGTTTACTCGACAACTTCAAGTATCACAACATCAAAAAAGGTAAAGTACACTGCGAACACAAAACGAATACTTCAAGACATATTGCTTGGTTTCTCGTGCCTGCAGCTGGCAAACGAATACTGCGCTAGGTAAAAGCTACAAATTGTGCACAGCGCATTAACTTATAGGCTTGTGCAAATATTTGAATGAATATTACAGCACCTGATTTTGTCTCGATTGGAATTAAAGAAATTTGGAGATTTCGAAGTATTCGAAATTGATAAATGTAATTAATTACTTCGCATGCAACCCCTTGTAAAAGTTGTTTCACTGCAGTGTAGGCGTGCTGTACGGCAAAAACACCTATCCAAGGGCTATTCGCATTGGCGCAAGGCCTTACTTATTAACCCCACATCAATCTTTTATTTTTCATGTTTAAAAGCGTCTCGCTTCAGTTTTAAAACAGTACTTTGTAGGTCAGTTGGGTAATGACAAATATGCTCATTTTTCTTCATACAAGGTGATTTAAACCATTCAAATTCGATTCAAAATTTGATTAATCTACTATTCGCTTTGAACATGATATGTACTACATATTTGCAAAAGCCTATTAATTTACCACTGCTGACCTGCTATGTAGAGCAAACCATTGAAAGGTGTCCATCAATATAGAGTTACTAGCTTGACAGAGGCTTATTTTATGGATGCCACTGCAATTTGTAAAAAATTGCATTGCTGATATCAGTATTTTGCTAGCATAACAATTACTAGGTGCAACAGTTTTTTTTTAAAGGTAAGGTATCTGCATCTGATAAACACTTGTTTGCAAGTTTTGACGATTCTACAGTTGGTTGTCTTATGTAAATGTTCATGTAGGCAAGTTGCCGTTCAAGTTAAAACTTCATAAAATACATCGCCATCTTTTTTTTTTTTTATTTCCAGTGAGCCCTTGTCTGCATACTGGCATTATGTACCAGGGCATTCAAAGGTCTTGCTGCCATACAAATACATGGGACAGTATCCTGAGAACGTTTGGACACCCCTGTACATTTCTTGTATGCTTGCATAGAATTTCAAGTTAGACAACCAATAATGATTTGCAATTTTAAAGAAATGTACTGATCAATATTTTTTTTTTTTTTTTACTGACTCAGTGTGTATACCACCATGTGCAATTCGAGGCTGCATACCAGTGGTACGTGATGCTCAGTTCGGCCCCCAAAGACCAGCCGTGGAAAGTTTGACTGTAGCAGCAATCCCCAAAATGATTGTGTGCACGCCGTTCATTTTTTAGTTACAGTAAAACCTCATTATTTCAATCTTGGTTATTAAAAAAACCTTGCTTAACTAAAATGATTTACGCAGCCCTGTATTTTTACGATGTAACTTTGAGTGGTTAACTTAAAGCGGCAATCAGCAGTGAGCACCTGTTCGGTTAATTCGAAAACTTGGGGTGCCATTTGCCTATTCGCGATCCTGATTTTGGTGCAAATCAGAGGAAACGATCTTTAGAGCCACACGTCATATCATGATACTAATGGGCAGAGTTCATGCTCCTTGACATGACAAAAATTCAAGGGTTTTCAAGGCATTTCAAGGCTATGTCTGAATTTCAAGGACCACATTGTCTGTCAGCAACAAAATTAACATATTTCAGGGGAGAATGGAGGCTTGACATAATTAGAATTTGTCGAAAAAGGGCAACATCCCTGGATAAACACAGAAAACATGGCTGCAAGGACATTTTCTTTCTAGAGAACTTTCGATCACAGTTTCATGGAGTTGCATAAACAATCACTTTCAGTATTCCTGAATTTCAGTATTCTAGTGATAACTACTCCTGAATTTTTATGGGAATGTCCACTATCTCCTGCTTTTCAAGTTTTCAAATATGCGCGGTATTGACTTCTTTTGCGATGAGCACATCACATATGATTGATTGATTGATTGATATGTGGGGTTTAACGTCCCAAAACCACTATATGATTATGAGAGACGCCGTAGTGGAGGGCTCCGGAAATTTAGACCACCTGGGGTTCTTTAACGTGCACCCAAATCTGAGCACACGGGCCTACAACATTTCCGCCTCCCACATCACATATGCCACCTGCTACATATATGGCAGCACAAATAATGTGCGACGTTTATTAAAAATAAAAATTCGAGGACCTTTGAGGATTTGCAAAAATCCCAGCACTTTCAAGGTCTTGAAATCAAACTTTTCTAATTTAAGGATCTTCAAAGACTTCAAGGACCCGTATGAACCCTGAATGGGTGACAGGTGAAGCACTTGGGCCTAGACATCTTTCAGACAGCCCCAGCCCCCCTCCCCTCACCCCCCCAAAAATGTGGTGTTAAGGTTGACTAAAATGTGTGCATGTGAAAAAGAACACGTGCTTCCCTGCCACACAGTGGTGACATGCGGGCAGCATGTCACATGCTTCTCGCAGCATCAGCACATCATGAATTATCCTTTCTTTCTGGGAATATAAAATAAAAATTAATAAAGACCAATCAGATGCAATTTGTGATGTATGCAAACCTCCGATTGTCAGTTGCTCCAACAATTTGCACACGTGCACTGCTGGCGGAGCACTCGTCTTTTGCCTACTTCGAAAATTTAGTTCGAAAACGTCCATAATCACACTTTCCAGCCAAAACACATATTGAATTCCGTTACTCTCGCCATTAATGGTTTCTTTATTTTACCATAAATATGGGCAAATAGTCACATCATGACGCGCTGACGTTGAATGGTGCAGGTAACCTGCTTTTCATGTGTCACTACTGTATTGCAGTGAAGCACATTTTTTACACAGAGGCACATTTGAGCTGACAAAGAGACCGTTTCTTTTTTTAGCTGTGAGGCCTGCCATTCCCCTGTGCTTGCGACAAAAGTGGCACCGGCTATTGCAGAAAAACAGCCGTAGGAGCCTCAAACTAGCTGGCACAGCCAACGACCATCCCTCGTTACTTTCAATAATTCAAAGTTCCTTGCATATCATAGTTTATATGTTTCATTAATGCAAAAATACACTTAATTTAAAGATTTCTCACAGTGCTAGTGACTTTGAATTAACGAGGTTTTACTGTATGTTGTTTGGCCAGAGCACATTGTACAGGGGTCAGAGCCTTAGCAGCATGCTAGTGCTTTTAGTCCAGTCCCTACTGGTTTTCAGTAAGAAAACTGAAAAGTTTCTGAACGCACACAAACACACACCTCAGTATGTCCAGTGGTACTGCAGAATCGATTGTGTGCGTCACTGTGGTGTTTGGTGTTATGGTGCCGTCAGGCCCATAACCAGGAAAAAAGGCCTAGCCTCCCCCCCCCCCCCCCTAAATCCTTCATTTCCAGCAATTGTAGCAATATGTGAAAGATTAAATGCAAAAGCACTCATCTACTGATAAGGAGCACAAAGTTGTTTGTATGACAAAAGAAGCCACTCACCCCTGGCTGCTGCACTAAGGGCTGTCCCATTGACTGGGGCCCCATTCCCTGTGGTACCATAGAAGGCTGTGGTGCCAAGGGCTGGGGAGCACCGCCTGCTCCCAGCAACGGTCCTCCTGCGCCTACCATAGGCCCCACTGCTCCAACCATGGGCCCTGCTGCACCAACCATAGGCCCCGCACCTGCCACTAACGGCCCACCCCCTGCCCCAACCATGGGCCCTGCCCCAGTGACCATGGGGCCCGGTGCGGCCACCACGGCAGGCTGGGTGCCTCCCAGGGGTTGCTGGGCGCCCGTGCCTAGTGGGGCAAGGGTAGGGTTCTGGCGGTGCAAGATGCTGAGGGCCACCTGGGGATCCACAATCTTCATGATGACTTGTGCCTGGAGCAGTGCGTATGCCAGTTGAGGGTTCTGCAGGAGCATGTTACGGGCCTCTCCAGGGTTGTTCTGAATGCACAGCTGCAAGAAAATGATAATTGTTGGGACTTAACACCACCCAAAACCATGGTATGATTATGAGGCATGCCGTAGTGGAGGGCTCAGAAAATGTTGACCATCTGGTGTTCTTAACAACGCACTTTAATCCAAGAACACAGGCCTCTAACATTTCATCTCCATCAAAATTTGCAGCGGCAAGAAGACCGAGACTGACAGCCCAACAGGGGAACTCAAGAAAATTTTTCAGTTGCTTTTAATCACTATCAGTGTTTATCGTTAGCCTGACTTTGCCTACTGCCCGGCAAAGGCTTTTGTCATGTTTCACGATTTAACTCAGTCCTAGCATTTATAACATACACAAAACCAACTATAGCCAGCGTCTTAGTTTGCAGTGGGCAGAGCATCTTACTGCACTCAGTTGCACTTAGGTAAACAAAATTTTACATTAACAAACATTTAGGTTGCCCTACAAGTTATTCTGGCATCTCCAAGAAAACAGCGATTATAGAACACCAATAGTCCTAAGCCCTTCTTTCACAACACTTTTCTTGAAAGAATTTTTTGTAAATACCGTAACCAACAAAGTCGCTTCACTTGCACAACTGATGAATCACAACCAAGTGTACTCTGCGCTATTCTACGTCAAGTCACAGTTATGTAGGCTGGCTCAAAAAGAATATGGAGAACACACCTTCATCTGTTTCATAAGTTCAAACATCTGTTCAGGTGGCAGACTTGCCACTGCTTTGGAAATAGCTTCAGGTGCACGTTCTGGCTCCACTTCTGGGCCATATGGACTCTGAAAGAATGCCATAAATGAACCGCGATCAGCATCAAGACGGGAAAGAAGAGAATACAAGCCTCCCATACGAGCGCATTCAACCGGACAGTTCTCAGAGAGTTTAATGCGCTTTCCAAGGCTCTCAATTTGTTAGTAGCAGTGGTTATTTACAACTTAAAAGTTAGTCTCCCAAGCTAAAATGCTTGGACAGGCCAGCCTATTTGTGACTACAGGGGAATACTCATGACAATCCAGTCTGTACAACAATATGTAGATGTGCCTTCTTTATAAACAACTGCATTGGGTTAAGGGGAGACGCGGGTCGAAAAGTCGCGGTTTTCCGGAAAATTTTTGCTTTTTTTTTTTCCGGCTGTATTGGCATCCTTGGACTATAATCTATTACTTCTGAAAATATCAAGCTGAAATTCGCACGAGAAATTATCAAAAAATGCTTCCAAGTGGGCAGCGGTGACGCGAGAAATGCGCGAAAGTCGCGAAAAACGGCGAAGTTCGCGTCATCCTGTCGCGAAAACGACGCGTTGGCCACCATTTGCAATCGTGCACGCATGCTGCGAAGGCCGTATCCTTCATAATCCACTAGTAGCCAGTCTCGTGCCTTCACGCAGAATAAACAAAAAACGAGAAAAACAACGCGTACGTCACGCGTTTTGAATATCGCGGCACACAGCGCGAGGCCGCCATTGGACGGCGGTGCGCTCCACGCTCCTCCCCCTCCTATCTCTCCGGCAAAAGAGCGAAGTCTCGGACGTCGCGATCGAGTTTTTCTGCGTTTCTCTGCGTTTTTGCGTCATGGCAAGCCCGAAGAAGTGCAGTTCAGATAATCGAAAGTTCAGAACTCGCCACAAGTATCGAGGGAAACGGCGTCGGACGCTTCGCAAAGCGACAGCGAACGACGATGTCGCCCCCGACCAATGCCCCAACGCTCCGACTTCGGATAGGCCTAACACCGTCACCGAACCCTGCGACAGTGGTTGTGAAATAGCCGCTGCCGTGGAATTCGTCAGTGCATCCCAAAGGAAGATTGGATTCTTCGAGAGTGAACGTAGACCGGTAGATGCTGCTACTGCGAACATGCTGCTTTGCGAAATCGATGCGCTGACGGCACTTGTGGCGGGTGCGCAATGCCCAACCAGCCGCGAACGGAAGCTCGGCGTGCGAGAGGCAGCTGGAAAGCGCAAAGGACTTTCGGCATTCCTCGAACTGTGCTGTCAAAATTCTGATTGCCCTGAATCTGCACTTTCGTTCACGCACACGTTGAGACGTACTGCTTGGGCCGGGGACCAAGGAACGAGCGCTCGTTTTGACAGCGGCAGCTCGCGTGACAGCTTTGCTGTAAACGTGAAGGCAGTTCTGGCAGCACGCGCTATAGGCGCAGGCCACGACCAACTTTCACGATTTTGTGCGATTCTCGGTCTTCCGAGCCCGATGCATCACAAGACATTCAACGGCATTTGCAAGAAGCTCCATGGTGCGGCGATGACGGCACCAGGCACGAAACATCACGAAGGACGCAGTCGGCGGCAGAGATGTGCCAGTCATGTTTGATGGCACCTGGCAGAAAAGAGGTCATAAAAGCCACAATGGAGTGGGCACAGTCGTGTCCCTGGACACGGGGCTCTGCCTCGATTTTGAAGTTCTTTCGAACTACTGCCATGCTTGCAGTATACACAGGGACCTTGGGGAGGATGAAGAGATATGGCGAGCTTTTCATCTTCCAGTTTGCCAAAAAAACACTGACTGCTCATCCCATGCAATGGAACCTGCGGCAGCTGTCAATATATGGCAGAGGACCTTGTCTTATGAAACTCCACTGCGATTCACCAGCTTCCTAAGTGATGGTGACAGCAAGGCCTACACTGCAGTCTGCGAGGCAAATGTATACTGTGACACCCCCATTGACAAAGAAGAGTGCACGAACCACGTTGCAAAGCGCTTGGGAACTGCCCTACGGAAATTGGCAACGCCACTGCCATGAGGCGAAAAACTGAAAGATGCGACAATAATAAAACTACAAACATATTACAAGATCGCCATCACGAGCAACAAGGACAGTGTCCGAAATATGTACACTGCCATATGGGCATCGTATTTTCATTGCTTCTCCAGTGATGGTGCCAGTAGCCACAACTTTTGCCCCGCGGAACCAAATTCGTGGTGCAAGCACAAGCGTGCGGAAGCACTGAGGGAGCCTGCACCACGCCACACCCTACTGTTGACGAAGGCTCAAGGATTGGCAATTATGCCTATCTACAAGCGCCTTACAGAGGAGAAACTCCTTATTCGGTGCCTTCATGGCAAGACACAGAATGCAGCCGAATCGCTGAACAGCAAGATATGGCTGCTATGTCCAAAAACAAAGTTCGCCTCCAGAACAACTGTGGAGACAGCCACCGCTCTTGCTGTACTCTGGTACAACAAAGGCCACAGGGGCTTTGAAGAAGTGCTCGAAGGCATTGGAATTCTCCCCTCACAAGATCTGGCCACACATGGTGACCACTGTGACGTCATGCGCATAAGGAAGATGAACCTGAAGCAAACTGCAGAAGCGAGGGCACACCGTCGCAACACAGCGAAGAGAGCTCGTGTTGAGGACACTGACCGCAAGAGCCGTGAAGGACCAAGCTATGGTGCAGGGGACTTCTAGACACTTGCAGTGCATTCAAGGCAAGGTACTTTTCATTGTGCCCCAATTTGATGCAAAAAGAATGATTTCCTAATAAATGCCAACTTTGCGAACTTTCAAACTTGTTTTTCTCATTTTCATTTTTTCTGACAGTTTCACGTTTTCCGGGCCGCCTTTTAGAAACTTATATTCATTGTATAGTAACGAAACTTGGCAAACATATTCTTCAACACATGCAGAATGCAAATATCTACTCTAAATTGCAATGCCTACCAGCATTAGTTGTGAAAATATTAGCTTATTGTTTCAAGGGAGATTGAAAATAATAAGTCATTCAATACAATTTTTTTTTTTCTTGGTTCCAATATTTCTGTGACATATCTATGTAGATATTTGCACTTTTCAATCTACCAAGAGTCAAATAAGATCAGACACAGTGCTTTTACTGAAAGTTTAGTACATAAAAGAGTGCCCGCAAAAAATGTAACTTTTTGCTATTGTTTACGGCATTACTCAATAATTATAGCAGCTACACAAAAAATGATTGCATATTTCAAATCTGCATGAAAAACTATACTAATAACAAACTTTTCAAGTCTCTATTACTAGAAATAAAAAAAAAACTTTTTCGAGGAGCGTCTCCCCTCAAGTACTCCCCAACCAAGGTTAACTTTATGTCAACACAAATTATGCCGCACTTGCGGAAATATAGCACTTTTTAAATGGCACAGACACAAAAGCTTTGCATCTAATTTCTTCTGCTGCAACAGGTAGCTAACGGCCCACTCATCATGGCCAGAAAGCTTGCTTGCTTCAGCACACAATGGTTAATTATTCAGACGTTTCAACAGCACTCATCGCAGCTTCAATTTCAGAGAGCGCCGAGTGAGGGTGTGACTCGGAGTGGTTCTTGGGTGAATAGAGAAAGTTACATGCGCACGCATACCACACTGACAACTCTTTTCAGTGAAGGCTTCGAGGGTGCTGCTATAATCCCCTCTGAGGCATCGTGAATATGTGTGACCCACCAAGAATGCACCGCTGAGGTGAGGACTTCAACAGAGAGAAAGTTAGAGCGTGTTGGTTGTTTATCGTTCTTCATACAGAGCACAAATAAGAACACGGGACAAGAAAAAAACCAAGACAAGCAGTCATCCTTCGCACTCCCGTGCAAGTCTGCCCCTTTCTTTTGTTGAAAAGGACTGGTAGGAGAGATTGCTTTCAAGGATAATGGCAACCAACACAAATTTGTGATCCAGAGGGTAATGGGTTGTTTACATGAAATATTAAGGTATGTTTCCCTTGCAGTGCTGCAATATGCACTTTAGAGTTGATTTTAAATATGTTTTAGGCTATATTATTCATTTACATTTCGTACATGAAGCTTGCGTGTCCACATAGGTCTGTCCCACAATTGGCATGTTTTCAAAATTTTGTGTTAGTACTCCTTCAATGCCAGGAGAACTGGGCTAATGGCTTGTTAAACCGAAGAGCTCTGTATAAAACTCCTGCACATTAAAATGAAATTTTAAAAGAATATATTTTGAACAAATATGTTTTAATGCACCCTTTTTCGCAGTTTTGAATACTCACTTCGACTGGTGGGCCACCCAAAGACGCCTGTAAATCTGGAAACAGAAAATTGTGCTCTCGTTACGACCGTGACCATTAAGCAGCAAACTGAACCACAGAAGTACGGCCACGTTACAGCAACTTACTTTTGAGTTCTTCTTTACTCTTCTCGCTGGCGGCGTTGTCAACGCGCAAGGGACGTCCATTGAGATCGAAAGCGTTTAAATTTCGCATGGCGCTAAGCGCTGTCTCTTGATCCTTGTACTCGCAGAATCCATAACCTTTGGGCTTTCCCGTCTCACGATCGTACACGAGCCTGCGTAGAATGCACAGCAGTGCGCTGAACTCGCGCAACCACATCACGATGCGTACAAAAACAATTATCCGCGCACCGAAAGAAGCATACGGGCTACACTAGCAGGTTGGGTACACGCTTACCTGAAGCTGACCACGGGTCCCACTTCTGAAAAGATGTCCTTTAGCTGCTCCTCTGTAGCTTCGTAGGGAATGTTCCCCACTGCAACAAGCGAAGACAAGTGGCGTTCAAGAGCGGGCACGAGAAACAAACCGCGATCGGATAGTGTAATGTGCTGGGTGCAAGGCGAACTCACCGAACACCGAACGCACAGAACGCTCGGCGGCAGAGAGGACCCCCTGGACAGCTGTCATATCGGCAGCGTTTTTGCGCGACTTCCCCAGCTCGGCGACCGTGTGGGTAGCTGCTTACGAAGATAATGTGTTCCCCTGTCCTCTGCGAAACCCAGCGAAGAACTAAGCCGCGGTCACCGTGCAGCAGATGCAGCTATCGTAACGCAGCAAGTCGGCCGCTAACACAACCGGCAATGGAGTTTTTCGCGTCCTCTAGCCTTTATTAGCCAAAGGCAGCCAACGTCTTCGTCTTATTGTTTACAATTAAGACAATAAAACAAAACATTACCTTTTCAATTTATGTATGCACTCCAACCTAATTAACTTTAGTTATGTTGTTGTGAATTTCACATTGCGCAATGTTTATTTATCATAGATACGACGCATCTGCGGCCACGCCAACGTCAGCTGCTCACTATGGGCAGTGCGAGGCGGTGTGCGAGCGCGAGCTGCGGACGTGAGCATACGTTTCGGTGATTTTTGCGTCCAAAATGTAGTGTTATCTCGCCGCTACGTGCTCTCATCTAAGCGACTGAGACGAATGTGAGGTTTCCACGTGCCGAGCTGCCATGCATCACGAAATGTGGAGCTTTGGGTATGTATAAGGCAAGAGCCGTGCCTCTGCATGGGCCCTTCGCTGGGTGCAGCAAACTCGGCCGTTCTCTTCCGTGCTGTGAACGGTGCGGTGGCGATGTAAAGCACAACTGAGCCTATCATACGACGGTGCACGTAACACAGAAATCCTCGAAATCGGGAGCAACCATTGGGTATCACATGACGCTGGCATAAAAGCGTTTGTCGGGTGTCGTGTTTCGGTGACAGCTGCGTTTGACAGGGTCTGATGCTTTTGATGCGCCGTACGTGTCTTTCCTGCGAGGAAAACGTGCTTCTGTACTGTCGTGAGGACTTGCCGGCGTTCCTGATTTAGGCACTTTCTGGCCGCTTCGCCTCTAGCACGAACATCTACGCTTCGGAATGTTTGTTTTGAACGTTAGCTGGCGAATACGCTTGTTGGCGGCTTACGCAATATTCTGTAAATAAACAAGTGCCCCATCATGTGCGTTCGTCTGATAAGGTCGCTTATCACGGTTTGGCCTGTTTGCTACTGCAGCCTGGCGATGTACAGCCGTTATGAATCATGGTCGCTTTTTGATATATATTGTTTTACATAGCTGTTAGACGCTTTCGCTTTTGTGCCTCGTCTACTTTTGAATGAAGCAGACATAGTTTCTAAAACCATTATGCAATTCGTTGCGAAGTAAACTATATCCTGGTATGTTATTGCTTGTGCAAGCTCGTATTCTAGTTTCATGGGATTCGCGGTGCTGTTTTATTGCAATGAGAGCAAATTATTACAGTTCCCTCAACGTTGTGCTCTCAATACTACTGAATTTAAGAGCATCACCACATTTATTTTGTGCTGTGGCAGACACTGTTACACGTGTTGAAAAAAGACGCGCAACAAGTTGAAGTTTAGTCTTTGGCTTTCAGCAAAGTGAACTTAGTGCAGCAGGATTGAAAGTTTGTACAATTGCATCGTTGATGCAACACGAAAAGACGTTGACAAGAAAGGCCAGCTCGAAACTAAAAATTTACTTGAACATCCAGGAAAACAAAACCAAATGAGGTGAACATGTTCAATATCACAGGGCAAAAACGTGTGCTAAATTTTTCAGTTGCGAGTCAGGGCTTGTCCTGTGTGTTTGTAGCACCCTTGTCTGTGCCTTTTTGTACTGCATTGGCGATGAAAGTGAACTAAAAAATTTGGTTGCCTTGTGACAAGGAGACCTTACACAAAACTAGGCGTCACCAGAAACCACTTCAAAGCTGACATGTGGTTGTCTGCCACGATGGTGTAGTGGTAACAGTGCTCAGCTGCTTACCCGAACGTCGCTGGTTTGATCCTGGTCGTGGTGGTCGCATTTTGGTGGAGGCGAAATCGTAGAGGCCCGCGTACTGGGCTATGTCAGTGCACGTTAAACAACACCAGGTGGTCAAAATTTCTGGAGCCCTCCTTGACGGTGTCTCTTGTAATCATATCGTGGGTTAGATGATAGTATTAAAGCTACCACATAGTGCACTCTGGTTCATATCTAATAGTTTGATGAAATTGCACTCACTAACAATAATCAGATGGGAACCCCCATGGACCACCAAATAGGGGAATTTCAAGCTCTGATTGTTTTAATTAACTTAAAGTATCATCTGACAGCACATGAGGTCATCTTTGGCCATGAAATATAGCTGTGGAATGTCAAGCACTGTCGGTCGAGGCGTTTAAAGTGCAGTTGACATGGCTTATGGTTCTTCCATTCTGAGTTTTCTGCACAATTAGATGTACATTCTCAAGCAAATAGCAGGCTTTATCCTTCACCAGTAAATTATTTCACGTGTTTGTGCAAATGGTATGTTCAGCAACAGTGTGCGCAAAAACTATTTCATCAGTGCCATACTAGATAAAGTTTAAAAGGACAGAAAGCTGAGCTAGTTAATAGGAATGAATCTGAAAAAAATGTGAAGCCTGCATATATCAGCAAAAAGAAGAAAGACAGGCGGTATTTCCTGTTTCTCCTCTTTTGGGTATCGGCGGGCCTAACTTTCCTCCATGATGAATTCATATAAAACTAATTAGGTGCATCAGCACGTCATAGTTGCTTCGACATGCTCCTGAAAATGGCCGTAACTTTTATGATTCTACCTACAGCTGCGCCTATTACGAGTGCTGCTGCACATAGCTTATGGAGAAGAAACAAAAGGAGTGAGCAAGGCTCGTTGATCGCATGACAGGACGCACTTGCTGCTGTCATATGGAGCTCAGTTGCGCAACAAAGCGCATGAAAAAGCCCATCACCATGCAGTTGCAGAAGCATGAGGGGCAAGGTTGAAGCACCTGTTAGAAAAAATTGTCTCTGTATGGTTAGCCCTTTAACTTCATGCAGCGTCGGTTGGTGTGTGTGTGTGTCTCTGTGTGCACGCATGCACATTATATCTGGGTTCTGGAAATATATTATGTGTACAGTTGATCTGTCATCATATTTACCGAAAATAATATTAAGATCTGTTTTGGAGCGGACATTTCCTTGGGACATGTGCAAGGTTCGAGGTTATCTGCACTGGTGATGGCAACGTGAATTGGCAACTGATTGCACTCAATGTCAATGCAAAGGCATAATCTACGTCACAACTGTAACATATTTCTGCCAAAAAAAAGCTGGGTCCTCAACAAGTAGAGTCCATTTTAATGATGTTGATACAGACAGCCTAGTGTAATTCAGGCTTGGATGTTAGAGTATTCAAACTTAAACCCTGTAGCTTTTTAAAAAATGATAATCTTTGTCCTCTGTCACTCTAGGCAACTTGGAGGAGAGATTGATCTGAAAACACTCCTCTCTTATTGAAACAAAATATAGAAAGCTGTGTTATAATGGGACAGAAGCTGTGGCAGTGATGCTAAACTATACTATGAGTATTCATTTATTAAATTTGAATGATATTTGGACCCTTGATCAAGTGCCCATGGCAGAATACCTCCAGTGCGTTAAGACTCTACAAAAGTGCTACTGATGTTCTTACGGTCCACAGGCTTGAACGAAACGTAAATAGTGCAGTGCGTGTGAGTGACTTTATGGGTTATGTGACTGTTATGCGTGTATGTAACTATGTGTTGTGTGTTTATCATTGTATATATCACTGTCATCACCCGGCAACTGGAGTAGCCTGTCATGTGAAAAACCAGGCAAACCTCTCCAGCTTCCCATTAAAATAATTCTCTTTCTCTCTTAAAATCAGGGTACCCTGTGAGGTGTTTGGCAGTGTACTATCACAGCCACTGAATGTTTTTTTATCCAGTGGCCGTGGTACTATGTTTAATTATGTCAGGAACCCAGTGCTGCTTTTGCACCCTTCGGATTCATTGGCCTGTAACTTGTATGTCATCGGGGACCAGTGGACTACTTAACTATACAGCTTTGGGAAAAATCAATAACCTTGCCCATTGATGGAGGGCAAAATGCTTTGCAGTGAAGTTTCTGTTCGAGGAAGTTATAAGAAGTCAGGGCTAATGTACTTGTACTTTCTTAATGCTAAAAGCTTTTTCTTTGTGTGTGTGCATATCTTATACAGGCCTTGAACACTGCAAACATGGGCTCAGTTGTTCTCGAAGAGTACGAGCTGCTTGGTGACCCCAAGTACCGTGCCTATGTCACTGCCATTGACAAAGCTCTCAAAAGCTTTGATAACACCAGTGAATGGGCTGACCTCATTTCAGCCCTTGGAAAGCTGAACAAGGTATGAAAATGGTGAAAGCGGATTTTTTGCATTAATTCTGCCGACTAGGTTCAAAGTGGAAGTTCATTTTTGATAAGATCAAAGAAAGAAAAATTTTGGCCATTACTGCTACTTGATTAAAATTATGTCGAGTTGCATTCAGAGGTGCCTATTTTGTGTCCTTCATATTGCGTGTGGTCCTACAATTATGTTTTCATAATATAACAGGCCTCCTTATACTCTTTGCCGTGCCACTGGTTTCGTAGAAATGCTACAACACAACCCCGTGTGGCCAAAATTAACATGGAGTCCTTCATTGTGTTTCAAAATTATATCTCGATGCCTTCAGGCAGCATGCCAGGCTTTATTGGTCGGCTGCCAGCTCATCAATCACATGCTATGTAATGCCAGCGGGGGCAAATAAAAAAAAACGTATTCCACACTTGCTGTCATGGCTACAAGCGGCGCTGACTAACACTCCCAGCTTTGCTTGTGCAGAAGTACCCTATTGAATGGACGGGAGGACGATCGCGACTATATGTCAATTGGCAGAGCATCAAATGTGTTATCCAAAGGTTGTAGGTCTGGCCGTCAGTGGTAGCCAGTTGTCTTTTCTCCACTTTTATTTCTTCATATTATTAATATTATAATTACTACAATACATCTAATTGGAAGTGTCCTATACTTTCCTTGGCTTCATTGTTTGTTGGTTTCTCAGGTTGTATATAACAAAGAAAAGGAGTTCTTAATGAATTCCCCTTTTTTAGTTTATAATAGCATTATAGTTGCAGCATTTAAAACCCCAGAATTATTGTTATTAGCCATAATGCTTCATCACCAGCTAAGTAGCTTAGCATTTGCAAAGTATTACACAAGCTGTCGCAACACAGTCTTCCTGGGTAATTATTCACACATCTTCGTCGCACCATGTTGTCATAAATATGTGGTTGGGTTAGTGGCAGTGTTTACCGATATCTGCTCCACAAGCGAAAGGCTTTGCCGCCTGAAAGGCTCCTATTGGTTTCCTATATTTAACTCCTTTCTATGTACTAACAAACTAAAAGGCAATAAACGTTTTTTGTGACTGGCTATCGTGATAAGGAACCATTTTAAGTGGAGCAGGTAGCAGATGAGAAGAGTTGTACGGAAGGCCCTTTCTGTCTTTGGGCTGGCACTGCAATGGTGCGTTTGTTTACACTTGCAAAGGTCTGCAAATGTTAAACGAGTTACGTACATTGATGCGGTTCCCCAGGCAATTTCGTTTGGCTTCTGGCAGTGCCATCATGTACTTTGACATCAGAAGTACTCTGGCAATGTATGCAATTGGCCGTAGTCAGCGTGACCACTAAGGATATTCTTCATGGTATTTACTGTAAAATACAGGTGCATATGGTGCTCGGCTTTCTTCGAAATCTTTATATATAAATTCACTTCCCATGCATTCAAAAGTCAAAGTTTCTAAATGGCCTGCATGAGTCTGTTTTATGTGAAGGAACCAATAATAAAAAAAAACTCACATTTTCTGGTTGGACCATTCACATGTATTTTTTTTTCTTTTTTGAAGCTTCATTGCCACTTATGTTTCTGCTGTGTGCTAAAATATGGTGGCACATGCATCTTATGAAACATGAAATAGCGAAATTATTTTCAATATCTTTTGTGGTACTGGGGTATTAGGATGCAGTTTTAAAAAAAATTGAAATTCATTATCATAAAGTTGAAGAAACATTTTTGAAGGGTGCTTTGCTAATGTGAATTAATTTTTTGTTTCACTGTGATCTGCAGTTAAAGGGACTTTAAAGACAACTTTTAATTCAACGTTGGTTGTTGAAATAGCGGTCCAAAACCTCATAGCTTTACTTTTGGGTCAAAGAAGCACTTATTTTAAAATAAAGTTACGTTTTTGTGGTTCACATTGGGCTAGCGCACTTCAAATTACCGGCCTCAAGCAGAGCGTCTTGTGTCACTGTTGCCATGCGCAATGTGTCCCGGCTTTACTGCCCAGCCGCCAACACCAGTAAAAGCAGAATCAAAGTAGCAGGAGCCACAGCAGCAACAACGACCATTGAACAATTTCCTGCCATGGTTTCCGCGTTTGCAGGCATGCTTGGGTCAACTGGGCCCCACCAGATGGCACGACCTGTCGAGTTCAACCACGCGAAAATTGGACTTTTGAACCAGTCACGCCATTCCCCATTGTAACGTTCGGCGTTTTTTTATTGTTATTCAAACAAAACCGAACGAGCAGCACTTTATTACGTCTCCTGATCCATGGAAGGTTCTTTATTTAGTGTAGCTAGATCGATTACTAGTAGTAGGCGGTGCCTCTCACTGTCATCGGGGTCATTTTTCTAATGTCCTACAGCGGCACATGTGTTCTCGTGCATTTACCCTAATTTCTTTGTAAGTAGGGTACTGCTGTTGATAATATTGTCATGTTTAGACGTCATACATTGAGCTTTCACTCTGAATTTTTATTTGACCTTAGTGTCCCTTTAACTGTGGCCTGCTCTGTGGGGCCATTTGCATGCACGTTGAGAATTAACGTACCTACACAGAAGCATTCCCCCATGCACATATGTGCTGATGGTGCAGCAAACATTTTTTTGGTATAGGGGGGGACTCTTCACTTCAAAACATTTTTAAAATTCTTCATTAATTTTACTAAAGCTTGCTAAGATTTTGTATGTACTGTTTTCAAATATGCAATTATTTTTTTAATGCAGTGTGTAGTTTTTTAAATATCCAGTGTTTCATGTGCTTTTTGGGAGCAAAATTTCTTTTTCAATTTGTAAGAGTCTCATAATAAATCAGCATGTCAGAATGATCTAGAGTCAGAACTGTGTTCATCACAAATCAAAATTCATCAAAACATTTGGCATTTTCAAGCAGTAGTGTCCCCCTGAGTAACTAAACTAAACTATGTAGGTGGTGTCCAGCCACCTCAAGTACCAGGTGGTGCCCCGTCGTTTGACCATCAGCAAGCGGCTGGCACAATGCATGCACCCCGCGCTGCCAAGTGGCGTCCACCTCAAGGCTCTGGAGTCGTACGACCTCATCCTGAGAGCAGTGGGGCCCCAGAGGCTCGGCCAAGAGCTCTTCTTGTACGGTGCCGGCCTTTTCCCACTCCTGGCGCACGCCGCCATGAATGTGCGGCCTGCGCTTTTGAGCCTCTACGAGACGCACTTTCTTCCACTGGGCGAGCGTCTGCGGCCGGGACTGAATGGGTTCCTCATTGGTGTCCTTCCAGGTTTGGAAGAAGGTTCGGACTACTATGAAAGGTTTGTTCCACAGCATTTGATTGTGTGGCTGTAAAGAAGCCCGAGAGCCAAGTGCAATCAGTCATCAGAAAGGAAGTGATATGTATTATGCTAACAAGGCATCGCTGGACCAGGTTGGTCACAAAGCGATGTTCGTAAATGGTCGAAATGCGACCGCTTTAGTGTTGTCGCACGTGAACTGATTCCTTAGCTTTTCAAATGTTGTAGCAAGACTGCTAAACCAATCAGTGGTGGCAGAGCTTGAGTGTGTAGTTTGGCAGTTGCTACTTGCAGATCTCTTTAGTCTCCTGCGTGAATGTCACCTCATAATTGAGGATTAAAATTACATGTGTCCTGGCTGAAATTTGTAGAAATAGAGCCGGAAAGTATTTACAGTGAGATAGAGAAAATAGCCATTTACCTGCAATGAAAATGAGATGAATGGTTGGGGAAGGCAAATTAGAATATTGGGGTGCCAGCCTGAAAGAAAAGAGGGTCACACTGAGGCGGCCTACAGCCTACATTTTTGCTATTAAAATGAATGATGTCATTAAGAAAAGTTTTAACCCCAATGAATGTATATAAAAATTTTAACCTCAGAATGTATATAATTTAATAAGGACATTTTTTTCTAAAGCATTTTTATGTAGGCGAGCTTATTGTTAATGTATTTAAGGTACAAACATATTGAAAAAAAGCATTTCAAATAGCTTATTTCAATTTGAATTGAAATACTTTCATTAAGGCATGCCAAATAGCATTACATATAGAAAGTGCAGAAAGCTCTCTGTGTTCAGATGTTTTCTTCATGAACCATGACTCTCCTTTTCTCTTCATGTGCCCACAGGACAGACAAGCTGCTTCTCGATGTTTGTGTAGCAGTCGAGAAGAGTTACTTCTATGGCAGCCTGTGGAAGTGCATATTATGTAACCCAGGAATCCGTCAGGCAGCGATCAACTTCATTGTCTCCCATTACAACCGACGACTTAGCATGGAGGACCAGCTGTATGTCATCGGCACCGACATCGACTGCATGGTATGCATTCTCCTACATTACTGCTGCCTGTTTGAATCGGCACTGGTGTAACATGTTACTGGTCCATGGACAGTTTTTTGTTATAAGCAACATTGGTACAGTACAATGTAAAACGTTTAGTAGACTTGGGCCCCGCCGTGGTGGTCTAGTGGCTAAGGTACTCGGCTCCTGACCCGCAGGTCGCGGGATCGAATCCCGGCTGCGGCGGCTGCATTTCCGATGGAGGCGGAAATGTTGTAGGCCCGTGTCCTCAGATATGGGTGCACGTTAAAGAACCCCAGGTGGTCAAAATTTCCGGATCCCTCCACTACGGCGTCTGTCATAATCATATGGTGGTTTTGGGACGTTAAACCCTACATATAAATCAATCAGTTTAGTAGACTCGGAAACCCTTAAACAGAACTGCTGCTTAATTAGAGCAACTACTTCTAATATGACTGCTGTCATACTCGAATTTTTATTCGTGTTTATCTTTCAGCAAACAGAACTCTTGCTAAACAGAACACATTTTCCTGGACCCTCCATCGTCCATCTATAGAACCTGAAGTGTCTAGCTTCTGTAATGAGAGTGTACTGTATAATATTGTTCCTTATAAGTTAAGCTTCTATTGATGATTGTTACTGAGTACTTCTTTTATATGAGTTCTATGACTCATATTTAAAATTGCATTATTGCATCAAGATTAAAAGCCCTAATGGAACACCTTCTACAGCACAGCAAGGTTTCTACAGCAGCTTTTATGATAAACTTATCTGATAACCTGCACTCAGAATATTGTAGTACTACGGGTATCAGCTGTAGGGGATGACTCCCCCCAAAAACCAGTGTCATTGTTTCACTAGGCTGTAGCTGTATTAGTTAGATAATAACCCACAATTTCTGATGATGCCAATGAAAGTGTATCGAAGTATGTTTTGGAAATTCGAAACACGAGATGACTGCTGTCAGAGCATGTACCATCACTGACACGTGTCAATTTTTATAAGCTGTTTGAAAAAAGGTGCTTCAGCTTAGTTTGATTCTAAAGGAAGTACTTCTATCACTGTAAACCGCTTGTTCCATCATACATCTGAAAACGGGAAAGTGGCCACGCTAAAAAGAACATCACTCTGCGTCGTTGCAGTTTCATCACACGAGGCATACAGGCATGAGTATTTGGGGCATGATCAGCGCATGCACAGATGTGTGCATGTGTGTTGTGGGTTGGCTTTATGCTCAAAAATATGCTTCAGTCACCAGGTAATGAAGCTGGCACATTTTTACATGTTACATTTTTATTGCATGCATTGATCATCGTTACTTAACTAATGGTAGCATCACCCGGTTTTCCCAGTGCAATAATCTTCTTTTGCCGGCCGTAAGGACAAACTACGGCAAGTTCTCAACCTTATTTACTAGCATAGCCATTTGGAATTCATTGCCTTTCGAATCGAAATCATCGCATAACATCCATATTTTCACTTCGCGCAGTAAGAAATATTACGTTCAGGAATTAATCAACTCATCCAATTTGTGTAATTAACTGTTAATAGCCCTCCACAGTTCTGTGCTATTTTACTACTTCAATTTGCCTTTGTATAATTGATAACACTGATAATGAAATGTGTTGCATTTGTCACGTAGAGTTCATTAATATTGTTTTTTGTCTTCACTTGCTTTTGACTATTTCCTTGTTATTTTTCAATAGTGAGTATTACCATTATGCTGTGTATTGATCGTATCTTTATTGTTAATCAAGATTATTCATTATTGCTCACAACTCCGTATACTATTGCTGTATTTTTTGTAATTACCCCATCCATGTAGCCATAGGAGGTCCCCCTGTCAGTTTCTGTGAAACTTTGGGACCTCCTGCTGTAATAACGCTAACCATGTAACTCAACTGAACTATTTAATAAACTTGACTTGACTTGACTTGCTTCATATACTTGGGCTTAACAATGCTTCATATACTTAGGCTTAACAGATTGAATTGCATAGGAGGATTCGTGTTCAAATACTTCGACACTCCTAACTTTGAGACAGGAGTGCGTATATCTGTGAAGAAGAAAACTGAAGGCTATCACGTTTTCGACCTGTCATGAAAGTTAATGCTGCAATGTCGAAAGAAGAAGAAGACTCTTCAATATCGTGTTGGCTTGACATGCCGTCGTGTCCTTCTCTGTGATCACAGGTCCAGGCACTGTGTGCTTCGCTTCAGGACTCGAGCATCCTGGTACAGAGGAGCACACTAGAGCTTCTGCTCCTGGGTTTTCCCCTGCACAACTGCTCGTTAGTGTATGGGGACAGGGTCCGCGTTTGCACAGCAGCACTGGGTGTCCTGCTTCGGAGGGACATGTCACTGAACCGGTACTCAGGCACTGCCTTTCACTATTGAATGCTTAAACCTTGGTATAATGAATCCAGATAGGTATAACGAAATATCAGTTACGACGAAGTTAGTGAAAAATAGTCTTGCAATAGATATAGTTTGTGGGAATATACCTTCATAGCAAATTTTTAGGATATAGCGAACTGATGTTTACACTAAACAATGTTTACACTGAGAGTTATTATGTGTGCAATTATGTTTATTTACTCTTTGCTCGGTTGCACGCTGCATAAAACACTGAACGGTAGGCTTGTGTCAATGCCAAGTTTTAGGTTTGAAGCGAATAGTGATTTGGTTTAGTAATTTCAAATAGAATAGTTTGAATAGTATATATGGCGAGCATATTTTTCATAAACCAACTAGCCTTCATAATATAATATATTTTTGTTATTGAAACAAGGCTTGTGCAGACTTCGTTCATCTCTGTTCACCGTGAAGTGGAAGCAATTTTGAATATTAGCAGGAGTTAACTTTAGGTAGGATCTATGTGATAACCAGCAAAATACATTAGGTATAGAGCACATAAGCCATTATGACAAGCTTCTAAACTAAAAAAAAAATATTGTTCGATTTAGTAAAGGTGGTTTCGCTGCAGTGTAAGTGTGGTAAACCATGAAAACCCAGACTCAGGTTTATATTAGTTTGCGTGTAACTTTCTGTAAAAGTGGTTTCACTGTAGTGAAGTAGTGCTGAGATGTAAAAACACATATCCAGAAGAAATTCACACTGCTGCTAAGCTCCGCTTCTAGGTTAAATGGAGATGTTACCCTGAAATCGATTCATTTTTTCCTTTTAAGAGCTCGTTTTACCGACTTGTATGTTCTAAGTTTAGCAAATTTTAAAACTTAACATATTTTACAGGCAATTACTTGCATTCTACCAAAAGTCAAATTCTGCTGCTATACAAAGTCAAATTCTGCTGTTTCATTCAAAGTTGTTCCCACTTATTTTTATTTTAAAAAATGACATTTGCCCAGGCCATGTTTTAATTTTTAAAAAATATTGTGCAGGTTAGGTTGGTCACGACAAATATGCCCCTCTTTCTTTATAATATATGATATCCGTACTATTGGAATTCGATTTGAAATTATTCGACCAATGTCATTATTCGCTTTGAACCGAAATTCACTATTCGCACAAGCCTATTCATTAGGGTGGTTGGAATAAGCGACACTGTAATGCGTACAGAAGGCACATTTATGTCTGCTATTATGCAAAGATACAAATGACCCAAAATATATGCAAAGAATACTAGTCTGGCTGAGGAACTGAAAATGATTGACTGATTCCCTGTTATTACGATTTACTAAGTTACTGCATGTTACCTTCAGCTCATTTAGTTAGGTTCATTTCACATTGACATGCATTTAGTTAATTAATTAATTGTGATTATTGACATGCATTTAGTTATTTAATTAACATTGATCGCAATAAGTGAAGATGAAATCTGTGTATTTTTCTTCTACACTCCTTCAATTAGCTCTTTTATTATAGTAGGTGTGTCGTTTCATGTTGTAATTTCAATGTTCCAACACTGAGCTTCTGTAACTCCCGAGGTCATAAGTTCTTGAGACTTGTTGGTTCCACGCATACTCCCATTGCCAGGCGACTCTTTGCCTGGCTGTTTGGAAGTGATGGGTCGTCTACTATCAGTGTCGTGCCATCGCCCGAGTCTACAGGATCGTCCGAGCCACCGCCATCTCCCGTGCCCGACTCTCCAGAGCCTACGCATGCAACATACTTCCACTCGCATTCGAGTGCTCTCCTGTTGGATGCCATTAAGTGCTTGTTCAGTGTAAGTTGAATGGTTGTTACCGTTGTTGTCTATCTTTAAGTTCTTGTTGTATTTTTGGGTGTGTCTTTGTGCGTCCCCCAATACTCAAGGATCAAAGGATGATAGTGCAACATATAAAAGGCATTTATTTCACCTATTCAGTAAGCCAGCCAGCCAAATTCAGCAGTCATTGTAGCATCCTTGAAATGTTTGATTTATCATATTAGAGTGTTGAGTCTGTAATGTTGTATTACAGACTCAACATAATTTATATTTCTATAAAAACCATCACCTATGTCATTCGCGATACTCATGTGGGAGAAAATACAAAAAAGTTCTAATGTCCCCACATGTTGTGAGCGTAGGAACAATACTTGATGTACAGTGAAAGTTCGTTAATTCGACATTTGTTGATTCGAACATGGGGTGATTCGGACATGTTTCCTGGCCCTGGCAAGCATATGTCTTGTTTGATCGCATCAAGCTCTCATTAATACAGTTTTATTTGGTCGCAATCAAGTTAATTTGGACGATCTCAGTGTGTGGCAAGCACAAACGGCTACGAATGTGAGACGCAAAGAGTGAAAATGGCGTTCACATGCAAACAATGCTGTCGTGGGCCTTTAGAAAAGTGATATTTTCATGCTTAATATTTTCATGCTTAGAAAACAAAAGAATATTTTCTTGCTTAGAAAACAGTAAGACCATATGCTGGCATGTTTATGCCGTGCTGGGCTTTGTTTTTGCAGCCTTCAACATCCAGGTCACCTGTTCTCAGCAGCAACTTTTCAGTCCTTTGGCCATACAGGATTCTTGTCTCCCTCATGGACAAGCCTGAAACAAGTTTTATACTGGACGATGTTCTCATTGATGTTTTCAGGTAAGGTTTCTTCTTATGCAAGCGTCTGGCATTGAAAGCTTTCACTTTACTGCTAACTTTCCTGCCTGGCGTAACTATATGAGAGGCAATACTGTTAGCAGCTAGGTTATGTGTGAAAAATATTCCATGCTGGTGCTTTGATTGATAAGTTCCCTCATGTTTTTAGGGCCCCGCATCAAGTTTCTGATAGCAAACAGGCAAGAGTGATCACAGGGCGGCAAAAGATGTGGTCCTCATTCAGACTCGCTGTGGAGCTCATTTAGGCTTACTGATGAAATATGTTTTTTATTTACGGGTCACTCGGACTCGTACTCATCAAAATTGTGCTCGGCTGGACTCTCTCGGGCTCTGACTAAAATTTTCTCAAGGAAACTCACTCAGACTCAAACTCGCTAAAATATTCTTCGCTCAGGCTCGGAACTTTGGCTCGATCAGAGTTTGAGGAGGTAGACTCGTGAGGGAATTTCGGATGAGCCTAGTGCATAAATTTTGACCACTGTGTGTATAATATAGTATATTGCACCAATATCGTGCTACTGTCACATTTCACTGGCAGTCATGAGATGATAAGAGTTGGTAAGTGTGAACTTGCACACTGCTTCTCCGTAAAGCAAGAACAGGCATTGCATTTTCATTCAATGAAGAAAGATGCGTTTAGTAGGTATGTCTTCATTGCTCTCCTAGGTGCCCTCGGCACTTCATACATTAATTTGATACAGAAAATTTTTGTGGTCTTGCGAAATCGGAAATAACAAGGTTTTAACGTAATTCTTATTTTCCTATTCTCTCGTTTCAAATATCAGGTCTCTGTATATTGAGTGTAACCTAGGGACGGTGACCAAGTCTCATCAGGAGAAACAAGTCAACCGAAGCAACTTTGAGCTGATCAAGACGGCCAATCTGCTGTTCAGCTCCCTGGAGCCCAACTATCTCTGGGAGTACGTGCACAAATGCTTCCAGGGTGCTTGCGAGTGTGCGTCATCATCTGCTACCAAGGTGCCTCCCCAGGCAAAGTGCAGCGAAGGAAACAAGGTGGCTCATGTTGGCGCTGGACAGCCATCACTGATTGAAGTGTGTGTCCTTTCAGAGTTTCTGCTGGAAGTCATCTCATTGGTAAGAATTTATGAAATGGAGCTTGTATTACCTCGTAAGTGTCATTGGAGTTGTAGGTGTGATTTCTGAGAACTCGAAGAAACTGTGGCCCTCGAAGGTGTGCCTGTCACAGGTGTATTTGTGCGCTCCGTTTCGCAGTACTAATTGATGCTGTCTTTAGTGTTGGCTTGTCAGTGATCAGCAGTTTCTGGTGCACTCTGTTCGAGGTCATCGAGGTGACTTGTCATTTCACATTGCCACTTTTCATAGTTGTCTGGATATGAACGATTGGGCTGTTGCTATTAGCTGTAACAGCGGAAGTGTTGCACTCTAAACATGGGGACGATGATCCTATTCCCAGCACAGAGAAAGGAAAAAGATAGCAGGGAGCATTGCTGAACGTGATAGAAAAAGTATGTCGTCAAGCACACACATGCCAAGTTTCACTTGCCCATATTTTCCCAGTAAAGCTAGGGCTCGTGACCTTCAAGGGCTGAATTCAGGGAGCTGATTATGAGGCTTGTACGAGGTCTGTTAGAAAAAATATCCAACCTTTGGCGGAAGAAAAAAAAAAACTGGCATAGTTGTAGCGTTGAAAACCTAATCCCCCTCAAAGTTGTCTTCTTAGAACTCGGCACACTTCTCCCAGCAGTGTTGCCATTGTTGGAAGCATTCTCAGAAGGCCTCTTTCGGAATGTAGTTAAGCTCAGCTGTCGTTGCAGCCGGAATGTTCTCTCTTGTCTGAAATCGCTCTCCTTTCAATGTCCTGCTGAATTTGGGAAACAGCCAGAAGTCGCAGGGGGCCATATCAGGAGAGTAAGGAGCCTGTTAAACTACAGGAGTCTGACTTTTCGCCAAAAAAAGTCTGAACCAAGTGATTGGTTTATGTGTGGGGTTTAACGTCCCAAAACCAGCCATATGATTACTAGAGACGCCATAGTGGAGTGCTCCGGAAATTTCGACCACCTGGAATTCTTTAACGTGCACCCAACCCAAATCTGAGCACACGGGCCTGCAGAGTTTTCGCCTCCATCTAAAATGCAGCCGGAATTCGATCCTGCGACTTGCGGGTCAGCAGCAGAGTACCTTAGCCATTAGACCACAGCAGCAGTGCCTCTAAACCAAGTGTGAACAATGTGCAGGAGCATTGTCGTGATGGATGCACCAGTCTCCTGTTGACCACAACTCGGGTCTCTTGCATCGCACAACATCACGTAGGCGACGAAGGACATCTCTGTACTACTCTTTAGGGAACTTCTGGGTTCATTGGCAAGAACTCTGTGTACACATGCATTTATTGTCACTTGTGCATGAATGTGTCACCAGTTCATGCACAAGTGTTCACTAAGGAATGTCACTAAAGCCAGCACTTGATGATTAGTGTATCTGTCCAAACCTAGTCTCCAGTGATTCACTTTTTCCTGATATTTTATTATTTCAACCTCCCATGTTCCCCTGAACTTTTGTGTTGTCTGAATAGTTAATTTCTCATGAAAATGCATTTAACTATAGTTCTTATTAAAGGGAGACTAGTATTTGTAAAGTGTCTCTCACCAGAAAGCTCAGGCATGTACGTGGCATGTATATTCGATTCGACCTGATCACTCTTTCTGATTGACCTTTTTATTTGTATAGTTTTTTACAATGATTTTTTTCTTTCCTTCAGGACACATACGTGGAGACAGACAACCTCCCAGCGCTCCTACAGAAAGTTGCAAAAGATTTAGAGCAGTACTGTGTCTCGCTCTCACCGGAAGAGCTCAACGGTGCTCTGCTTCTTTGTTTAAAACTTCTTTCCAAGGTACAGCCAACGACCATGCAACCCAACTCTTCGGCCGTGGAGCCAGCCTGCTCTCCTGCCGATTCGCTCATTACCAGTCGCCTGCAGACATCGGAAAAGTTTTCGACGTCTTGCGAAGAGGAGCTGTCTCTGGCAAATCTTATTTCTAGCTGCACGTTGTCCTTCCAGCATCTGTTTCTTCGATTTGTCGAGCTTTGGGTACTCACCGATGCCATTGCTGTCTTGAACCAGTTTGCCACTGCGCTTATCTCCAAGAGAGCCAAGAAAGGTGAGTGCAGGCTTGCATGCGTATGGCCTTGTCTGTGAAAACTTTTTTTGTGTTATTGGTAATTGGTTTCCATGTCTTTCTGCAAGTATTGTACACTTAAACTTCAATATAGCAAAATATTGGTTATAGCAAACTAAATAAAAATATTCTTGAAATAGATATACAGTCGTACCCGTTTACGAACTCGAAAGTGCCGCGATAAATAGTCGTTACACCAGTAGTTCGTTGTACATGTATAGTCCACATAGTGGGGAAACCGTTGTTTTGTGTGTGTGTATATTTTCATTAAAAAGTGTGAACAACCCCTTCGCCTACAAGTTAGACCTTTTCGCATAATAAACGACACTCGTTCGCAATGAATTCGCATTGTTCCACTGAAGTGCGGTACCGCCATGTTGAATGAATCAACCCTGGCTAGTTGCATGCAGCATATCGCTTGCTCTATTCTCACCGTTGCATGCCAGTTCGCTTTCAGTCCGATGTATGCGCATTTTTGTGCATTCTTCATGCATGATTCACTCATGATTGTGCTCAGGTGCGGCGACTAGCCTGTTCGTTTTTTACAACAAATCGTTTTACAAGCAACGTGCGCAAGTACAACGCGGCAACGGCGTACTTGCGAACGGCACCATGATGCACTTGTACCACTGTCACTCCGCCGTGCAGCTACCTCTAGATGACTGTGATAAGGTCGCTGGCAGGGAGTCAAAATGGCACTTTCATCACCTCCAGTCATCTCCCTATCGCTCTTTTTTATGTTTACTCGTTAAGGCACTGCCACAACTGCGCGAAAGTCGTTGTCACTAATCGACTGATCTTTGCTGTTACCGAAAGGTGGAAAACCTTTAATGGCACATTGTGGTGTCGAAGAGTTGAGTGTCGCAGTGAACTTTCATGCGACAGAAGTTATCACTTCTCACATTTATAGCTTCTCGCATTCGAAGGCATTGCTGGTTGATTGTTGGAGAAAGGGGTCAGAAAAGTTTACTGTATGAAAGGTGACCGCAATTCTTCTTGCTTCCTCCTATTTATTTTTGTTTTTTTTCCCTCACTTCCGTTCTGCTGGTAAAGAAACGTCTGAAAAGTGAACTGCCTCACTCGCAACGTCCAAAATCTGCATGCAGTGCTGGCCGCGTTCTGTGATATTTTTGTCGCAAGTAAACTGCACAATGCACACGCTAGCGCACCTATCACATGCTTCAGAATGCCTGTTTTAACTTTTTTTTTCTCTTTGTATGCACTATATTTTTCTGCGACCGCGACCGTGTCAGAAGTGTTTGTTGTAAAAGCAGGAGTCTTTGAAAAACGTTTGCTGTATGTGTACTCAGTTTCAAAGGTTGGCATAAGAAAATTGCAAGTGCACAGAAATATGGCCTTTTTAACCAATAATATCTGGGATCATTATAAATGGGTTGGACAGTAGTATTTAAAATGTATCTTTATGATGAATTTTTGGATATAAGGAACTTATTTTCGTGTGAGATGCAATTTCGCTACGATGAAGTTTGAGTGTATAATGTTTCATTTATATTAACTTTAATTTATATGCATTGTCACTGTTGATATAGTGTGTATGTTTTTTTTTGCTGCCATCTTCTCTATGCTTTATTTCACTGCTGATGTAATGCACATGGTTTTTTGCTGGCTGCCACCCAAGCCACCACTGGCTTTGGGGCGCTTAACCTCACATATATTTCTTCATTCAAAGAAAGAGCATACAACACATTGTTCAGAGGTATTTAGCAGTGTTTACTTGACTAACATATCAACTTAATTTTGTCTACTAGCTCTTTTCTTTAAAAAAGAACAGATTACAAGAGGGTATTGTATTGTAATTTGATTAATGAGAACTAAAAGACAACTTGCCTTGACTTTCTTGACTGTTAGTTCTCATTCATGTTGTGATTAACAAAGAAAATGAGCCCTTTATAGTCCTCTTTTGTTAGTCGATTTCAACTCAGTGACAGGTTTTTGAGGGTTCTTGTATCTGGATAGTATTTGGCTAAAACTGCATGTACTGTTAGCAGTAATAGGAGTAGATGTTGCTAGCGAAGGAGTGCTGTCGCCAGCGCAGTAATACGATGTAAGGGACTATTAACGCAGGGATATTCTCCTTCATCCCTCATCCTACAAGATGTGTATGACAATTTTCCCATTTCATAAGCAGAGAAGAAAGCATTCCGTGTTAAAGTTAGCAGGAGTTGAGGAAAAGCTGTGGCATTTGGCATCAGCCGTTGCGTAGGGACGAGCTTCACACTAGTTCTCTTTCTCTGGGTATTTCTTTTACGTGGCACACACGGTTTCTGTTGTGGTGCAAGTTTTTCCTCTTGCACAGAATGTGTTTCAGTCTTTCCTTGGTTATTTGCAGATGATAGGGAGAAAGAGCTGCATGGGCTGTTGCAGCTGTGCTTGCTTCAGGAGGAAGGTGGTGACCCGTACCAAAGCATCGAGCTGCCACAAGTGCCACCCAGGCCACTGGAGAATGCTGACATTCCGCAGATTAAGCTGCAGGTGCAGTCTTGTTTCAGCAAGCTGAAGGATACTTACGCTACCCTATGCCAGCTTCTGGTTGAGCTGTCCTCATTTCCAGCATCTCTGGGAACACTCAAAGCCATCTTCTTTGATGTGGACTCTCCACGTGAGTTATGTAAATGTCTACGGTAACCAGCAATAGTACAGCTGTCTTAAACAGTTTGTAAACAGGTAATTGAGTCTAAAAACAGTGTTTTAATGTCATGGCATGTAACATGAAAATAGAAACTGAAGTTTGGACTTTGGAATTATAAACATGGCAGTGTGTCCATCCGTTTTACGTTGTCAATTTTATCAGTCAACGTGACATTTCAATCCACATGCTACTTTGTTGTAGAATGCCTGGTCCACATACTCAAGTGTACATATGTTGACATCTAAGGAGTGATGCGAATGTTTATTAAAAAAAAAAAAGACGCTGCGATCTTTTTATTATCATCATATCATTAGACAGCACTTAATGTAGTAGAATTTCATCTGTAATGAAACGGGCAAATAATTATTGCAAGTCTGGAACATTTTACTTTCTGATCCTGCATGTGCACTAGAAAATAGCCCCTCGTAATACAAAGCACTGATGGTTAGTATTCTATACACCATTTAATCATCCAATAGATGTACTTGACACCACAGACACGACACTTCAGCCGCTAGTTTCGATTGTGCTAATATGCTCAGGTTCCCTTTTACCACTCTGTGGTTATGCAAAGCAAGTGAAGTAAAATTAACTTAACCTCCGAACCAGCTCACGTAATCATGGTGCCTGCATTGGTCACTGTAGTTCATTCTTTGCATTGCTGCTTTTCTTTTTTTCCTACTTGAACAGAAAACCAACTCGGTGTCATAAGTAAGATAACATCTCAACATTGCATCTGTTCTTGCACTTGGTCGTTGTGTGCAGGTAGCGCTGATGAAGAGTTCCTCCCCAACTGGCTGCGACAGTTGCTCATGATTTCCTGCTTCGCGGAAGACCGTGACCTTCTGTTGCAGACCCTTGCCACTGTGCTCGATTTGCTGGGCCTTGCGAGAACAGCCGCTGTCGCCCTAGAGCCATCGTTCCGCGATGGAAACCGTAGTCTTTCTCCAGGCAGCCAGGTACGCTAATGCAATGCCGTTGTGCTATTCTCCACTTTTTCATTCTCTGCACATTCTCTCTGGAACTACCAGTATTTACTCGCATAATCCTCGCACTTTTTTTTTTGCCGGAAAACCGATGAAAAGTTGGGGGGTGCGAGAATTACGTGGGGAAAACTTTCTACGAAAAAGTACAGAGCGAAAAAGAAAACGAAAGTAGCCGCAAATCGGGATTCTCACACCAACAACTAACAGCAAGCTTTAAGAAGTACTAATTAAAACTTACCTCAACAATAAAAGCAGAGGTTCAACACAAGACAAGATTTAATTGAGACAAAAAGTGGAAGCAAATAGCCGAGAATTAGAATACCATACGCAAAGCTTGTGGACGTTGCGGGCGTAGCGGTAGCGTTCGTCGCTCAACAGGAGCCCTCAAAAGGTAAGTGTGGGACGTCAGTATTGGGCTGGTGGCTATTTAACAGAATTGTCCACAGTTTCCTTTTTAAGAAATAAAGTTTACCATCAATCCCAAGAGCCTACCGGCGGCCCTGTTGCCGTTCTTTAGTGCATTATCTATCACTTGCAACTTGAAAGCAGCGGTACAGCTTCAGTATCGCCTCATAACTTGACAAGGTTACCGACGCAACATACAAAACACGCCGCAACGCGCACTGGCCACTTTGGCTTGGCTTGAGTTGGATTGAATATCTGTGCAATAGTACGCTTGATGCTTAAGAGATGGCGCCAGATGACGTGTGCTATCATCATCAGTGGCTGGACAGAGCAGACGACATTATTGCAGCAGTTTTCGGGGGTGCGATAATTACTCGAGGAAAAAAAGAAATCGTATTTTTGTTGGGCGATGGGGGGGGGTTCGAGAATTGTGCGAGTGCGAGGATTACGCGAGTAAATACGGTAATATATTTGCAGGGTTGTCAGGACAGTCAGCATCACTACCAGCTTCACTGGCAAAGGGGGAAAAGCCCCCTGCTTCATGCAACTTTCCACATGCTGCATAGAAAAAAATATTCTTATGCGGAGTTTAAAAATCACACTTTAATCGAGTATCTTAAACAGGGCGAACTTGTGCCCTATGAGCAGGCAAGTAAAAAAAAAGATGTCTATGTTAGCACTGCAAGAACTCATCATAATTCGGCAGCTCTTTTTCACTTGTTTTGTGCAGTTTGCATGTGCCCGAGTTGTCAGCTGTGATCCTGGTGATTTGCTTCCTCTGTTTTGCACATACACCGTAAATGATGTGGAGAGCATAGCAAACGACTGATACACGTGTGCTGAATGTATCTTGTATTACTGTGGAGGTAGGGTGGAGAACACATGTTAAGTTACACCTTTATGTGGGACCCACGTGCCTGTTGGCATTGTCTCCCTTACTGTACCACCGGACTGGCCAAGAAGAACACAGGGGGTGTGGTTGCCTGTCTGCTTTCCCCCCTGAAGGAACTCGGTGGTCGTGTTTCTTCTTCCCTCATTCATAAAATAATCGTTACATGAAGCCTCAGAGTTGCCTTTCTTGTTGCTAACATTATTTGTGAATTCTGCAGCAGAGATTGTCTTGATAAGTATGACCGTGCTTACAATCTCGGTAAACAAAAAATCTATGTGCTACTCCTAAGGCTGCAATTTTTTTTAAGAAAGAGTTGTTGCCTGACCTAAGAGCTTTGTCTTTGCAAGCTTGCCTTGCATCTATGTAGAAGGAGAAACATCTTAAACCTTCAGTGAGAGCAGGACAGAGACAGACTAAATGCTCTCCATCTCTGTCTTGCTGTTCTGTGGTTCACACTGCTTCTTGTTTTCTCTGGACTCGTACTGATTGGTCCAAATAAACACTATTGCCTTGTGTGCCGCCTGTAAGCAGCCTTGGCTGGCTGAGGTTAATAAATGCTGAGCTGGTCTCCCCTTTTGGCTCGTCAATTCAGGCAACCCTGGCGATGGTGGTCGTGCCGATGGTACGACCTGGGGACTTGCGTGCGATTCTGGAACGGACGCGCTTTGTGAGCTTGGCTGCAGGTCGCCTCTGGGGCTTGCTGGAGCCAGGGGCCAGTGAGCTGCACCTCCGATCGGTCGAACTGCTGCAACTCCTCAACAATCTAACGCCAGAGCAGGATGGTTCCTGCGAAGACGTCTTGTGCCGGGCACTAGGCCAGTGAGAATGACCAGGTATCTTCTGCCAAGGTTTCGTGAGTTAACCTCACTTGTGCTGTTGTTTTTCTGGCACTCTGGCAAAGCATAGGCTGCATGTACGGTTCTCACGAAATTCAAATGCGACGTCAAATTAGTATACCTACTCGTATGCACAATTGCTTTAGATAACAGCGTGAGGTAAAGATGAATCTTATTTCTAAATAAAAGATGATGTTGGCTCTGATGTGCACGTTCTAGTCAAAATTATGTTGATATGACCAGAACAGAAGACGCTGGAAGCAATAATATGCTCATTAGAGCTAAATTGACCTGCTTCAATCACTGAGTACTGTACATTGTACCCTGTATTGATTCTCTGAATCTCTGGCAAAGTATAGGCCACATGTTTTAAAGCCAGTGAGAATGTGTGCAGACTACATTGAGCCAAAGCTCTATTTTAGCACTCAGTGTGACCTGCACCTGTGCTATTACGTTGCAGCTATCCTTTTTTTCGGCTCTAGGGAAACCATTGCTTTGTTCTTGTTTTTTTCTCTTTTCTTATCCTGCATCCCAGTTTGTTTCACTGGCAGGACTGCCATTTCATGTTTTCGAGCTGTTGTGCTTATCGGAGAGGTTACATTTTGCTTGACGCACTGCACTTCTCGGTGATCATACTTCGGTTTCATCATGTAGTGAGTAGACTCTACCATGTTATTGCTGCAAGCTGTGGTGGCTTAGTGACTGTGCTGTTCTTTTCTGAAACAGGAGGTTCTGTAATTGACTCCCGGGAAAGTTCTATGAGTGCTCTACGTTCTACGCTTTGCAAATATGTTATGAGCCTGTGTGTGCAAGTATATGTGCACATTGAAGAATCTCGGGTCGTCGATATTTCGGGAGCCCCACACTAAGGCATGCATGATGTGTTGTTTTGGGAATGCTGTATCTTATTGATGTCTTTCGAAAACACTCCAGCTGGTAAAGATTGAACCAGTGTCTTCCTGCTGGTACTTTTCACAGCACCTGTACAATTACTTCACATGTTTTGATACATTGACCAACATATTGCTTCTATTGCTGTAGTAAAATGGTAACATCAAAGCTTCGTTAAAATTCATGTGGGTGGCGTTTCTTTAATTCAGTATGTCTCATATAAAAATAAATTTTTTGGGTGTTCCAAATTTTCGCAGGAACAAACAGATGCCCAGAAAAGGTTTGCCATCCTCTGGCATCTGAGCAGAGACCTCAAGTTCAAGTCTACTCCATCAAACCTTGTTCGTCCATTTGACAGGTATACATGTTTAAATTAAGTGTAATTGTTTAAGTGGCTTGTTTAAGTGTAATTGTTTAAGTGACTGTTTAAGTGTATTTGCACATTCCTTTGTGCAATTAGTAGATCACAGGGCTAGACATGGACTCACAGGATTGATTCCCAGCCAGAATGCCTGCGTTGTGCGGAGTCGCATTCGGCCGATGCTCTTGTTCCCTAGTAAGATGTTTTCAGTGCACTCATTATGGCATCTATCATAGCTAACTGCACTGTTTCTTGAAGTCCGGGGCGGGGGGGGGGCGGGGGGGGGGGGGGGACATCAGGACATCATAGTTTTTAGAGATATTTTGTTAGTGTGGTAAAATAAAAAAAATCCTCTCTTATCTTTTTATGTTAGTTTCAAATACGCAAATTTTTCCTGTTGTGTTGTTTCCAGAGACGGTAAGAAAAGTACTGTTCAATAGAAAATGAATACTGGCTATAGCCAGATGCTATAACGGGCTATAAATGTAATTTGCAAACATGATTGCAAACACTATTCGGATCAAAGCATCACTAGTCATTCTGCAGTTGACCAAAATTCAATGTTCTCCATGACTGCCATGGAAAAAAAACTTAATAAATTTTTAGAAATATATTTGCAGAAATTGACCATTCTGCTTCCAGCAATCAAGTTTTAGAAATATGTCTGCAGAAATTGACAATTCTGCTCCCAGCACATAGTGATTTACAGTGTGAGCTTCGGGAAAAAAAAAAGTATTACTGTATTTACTTGATTTTACCATGCCCTCGATTGTAACGCGCACCCGATTTCCACCACTGAAAAAAAAAAAAACGTAAGACATCGATTGCAACGCGCACCCATTTTTCTCGCTGGCCCGCACGATCACACCACTCGAAAAAACGAATCCTTTCGGGAGTGTCTTCCATTTAAATATGAGGTACGGGCGAAGCTTGTGCCCATCTGACGTATAACAGAGCATTGCCGTCACTGTAGTTTTACCGTGGACCGATGTCAGCACGCGAACTTGCTTCACCCCCTTCTTCTCGACGGTTGTGGTGCCAGGCATGTCGAAGTAAAGAGGCGTCTGATCGGCATTCCCTATTTGCCCAAGCAGGTAGCCGTTGTTGCGCCGCAAGTTTAGGACGAACCTCTGAAAACTGTTAAGCTTTTCATCGTACTCCTCCGCAAAACTTTTCGCATATGCATGTTCCCCTTCGGAGGGAAAAGCCTTTCCTCTTCATAAAGTTAGTTAGCCAGCACCTGCTCGCTTTAAACTGGCTCCGCATTAGACCTTTTTCTAAGACTAATTGCATAGACCGCACTTGGAGCTGTTCTGTCGTCACGGGCCGCTGTGCCGCTCGCTGCTCAAGCACATACTCGCCGAGCAGCTTTTTAATTTGCGGAAACCGACCCTGCTGTGGTCCACTGAAGCCTTTGCGTGAAGCTTTGCTGTCGACAATCTTCTGCTTTTGTTTCAGCCGGTCCTGCACGCACGTTTCGGGAACTCCGAACGACCGCGATGCGGCCCGATTTCCGTCTGTTTCTGCACATGCGATGACTTTTCTTTTAAAAGCGGCATCGTGGTGCACTCGAGTTTTTGGAGTCGGCCCTTCCACGCCGTCGATGCTAATGCACTACTAGATGACGAACTCCTCGGCACACGTACAAAGTGCCGCACATGGGAAACACATAGGCAGAAATGGCCGACGCGCCATGTCGACGCGCGTAGGGGGCGGCCATTTTGGATGTGCCGATGGCAATAGATTGACCGTAATTTTTTTGTTCGTACTCGATTCTAACGCGCATGCAATTTATGAACTCGCTTAACCGGAAAAAAGGTGTGCGTTAGATTCGAGTAACTACGGTACCACTCTTGCTGATTTAGGTTGGGACATGTCGCTCCGTAAAGCTAAAAAAGGACACAAGAACATTGCAGATTCAGCTTGTACTGATTTTACTAGACTTAACTTTGGCTTTACATGTGAAAAAATAACTGTGGATTTTTTAATGCAATAAAAAACATTTTTCACGTAATATTATCAAAGAGCCTGTTTCGCAGAAATTTCAGTGTCGATGTCAACACTGCTGTCGACTGCTTCTTTAGTTGTGAAAGAGAAATCGGTTGTGGCCGTAAGTGAAAATTCCAGGTATAGTCTATGCAAATGAAAGAGCTTGGAGAGTGGTTAGACGGCAAGTTGGGCCAGTCGATTGGAATTCATCGTGTGCTTCGTTTACAGAGCAACACTAGAGACACGAACACAAGAAAAGGACACGGCACTGACTCTCAACTGATTTCTATTGAATAGTGAATTGTGAAGCATGTGTATACCAAGTTGGCTGAACTTTGGCATTTTTCGCAGCGCAGCTTTTTACTTATTTATTTTAAAAATCTGTCATTATGTCATTAGGCATAGTATAGCACATTTTGCATCCGCCGACAGCGAAGGCAGGCTATTGATTGTGAAGGGGATAGTGTGTGTGAGTGTGGATGCATGTGTGTGCAAATCGCTATCATGTTCAACTCTTAAAAGTGAAGCGAAAGATCCTAGACATGACAAGATTTCTAGACATGACAAGCAAGCCATGTTCTAGACATGACAAGCAAAGATTTCTAGACATGACATGTTCTAGACATGACAAGATTTCTAGACATGACAAGCAAGCCATGTTCCCCCTCCTCGTAATAAATTTTTCCCATGGGTCATTTCTATGCCAGGTGCCTGTTCCAGATGCTGCACAGCTTGAGTAGACCTTCTGGGATGCAAAGGGCTGCCGCCCAAGTCTGGCTGAATCACTCGCTCATGCGAGGCGACCTTGCTCGACTGCTGGAGCCCTCCATGATGGTGCTTCTGCACCCGGACACTGCCCGCATTTCGGTGCAGCACGTGAGTGTGCGAGCAGGAGCTGCCACTACACAAGCAGCGGTGACTGCCGATGCCGCCCCGGCCATCACCCACGACGACTCCAATGCAGAGGGCCGCATCTTCGCCATCAGCAGCGTTGGTGGAAATGTCATTTACCATGTGGACAAGACCAAGGCAACCGCTCTCACGGCTGGCAACACTAGCGCTGTCGCACCCTTGAACCCCGAGAGGAAAGTGCTGGCGCTGACCTCCATTGTTGGCCCTGAAAAGGGAAACGGTTCAAAGGTTAGAATCAGCTGGTTGTTTTGTTGTCATACAGTGTGGCTTCAGTATCATTTGTTGTCATTTTTTTTTTTATTGCAGGTTGTGACACGCAGTTCAAACGTAGATGTGGAGTTTCCCCCAGCACTTGAATCTTTGCATCAGATATCATTGTTCATCAATCCATTCGGGTCGCTGACTTCACTGGGAAGTGACTATGGTCTGGACTCGTATAGCTACGACCCTCCAGACCTCTCCAACGCAACGCGAATCGATGGCTCCGCCCTGCGAAAGAGTTCGTTTGATGAGTCGGACGACCCAAGCTCTAAGGAAGACTCGCACACTGTTGTGCGATCGATAATCGACGAGATACTGGACCTTGCCACTGCATCAGAGCCCAAGGAGCCCCTCGAAAGCACTACGCAGAACTTGTTCGGCGAGGACGCAACTCGACTGGAAGCCACTTCCAACGCCCCTTTAGGGCAGCTTACCTCTCACCCCCTTCACACGCACCTCCTGTTGTACTGCCAAGTGTTCGATTCGCAGAAGACTCTGTATGCTCTCACGGTGTTGAAGACCATTATCGAGTCAAACCCACGTGTGGCACTGTGCAGTATGGCGACCACAAGCGTTAGTAGCTCGTTGTCACAACGTGGTGCACAGCTGCAGACCTTGCTTGCTCGTCATCGCAAATCCGTCTTTGGCAACAACTTCCACGGCGAGCTGGCTCCAGAAGCACTTTCGGGCTACCGCAGCAGCATGTTTCTTGAGGTGCTGGTATCGGCCTGCTTATACTTTGTGCGAAGCTACTACCCAAGTCTGCCACAGACACACTTAACCCCAGCCGAGCTTTCGGGAAACCGGGACGTGCGGTTACTCTGTTGCGAGCTGTTGCGCTTGGTTTTTTCCGAGCTCGTTGCAGTTGTGCGGGACAGTGGCCGCAGTTTTGCCATCTACCTTAATGACCTTCTCACTAGGTGCAAAGTGCAGAAGGCCCTTTTGCACTGTCTTGTAGCATCTGTGTATGGCTTCCAGAAACCGTCCTCGGAGAATGACAATGCTTTGACAGTTGGCATCATTGAGTTCAACGAGAAGATACCTGCTGGTGAGGGTTTAGCCGAGGACTTCCAGGAAACCTTTCAGGTGTGCGACTTTCTTGTGCTTTATCTGTTTACTTGTTGAAGTTTGCTGCATCTTTGTTGGGATGAAGTAAATGCAACTGCTTTGTAATTGAACATCGTTCGCTTGGTTCATCAGTCCACCAGTTACCGCACATAATAGCATAAATGGTCACGGTGAGGGCAAGCGCCAGGATTTGTGCATACTTGAGCTTTTGCACACTTATCAAGGCAGAGCAACTGTGTACAACGAAACCCATTAACATGATTTCTGATGTTTTGCCTGTGTCACTTTTGCACTAAATGGACTCAGCATAAGTAAATACTTTATCTTATAACAACTACTACTATATCTTTCTTTTGCAGGTTTACTTATTGCAGCTGATTGCAGCGCTTATTGTATTTGAGGAGAGAGTCACTTCCCATATTGGAGAGGATGGCCATCCTGGTCTCAAGCCTGCCACTGAGAAGGCCGCACCTAAGATGCGGTTTCAGCCGCAGATGTCCACACTGCGATACCAACACAGTAAGTTTTAGATTGAAGGCCGTTATGAGATCACAAGAATCGATTGTGGCACCATAGTTGTCTGTCATCACCATAGTCGTCGTTGGTGTCCATAACCACACTCTTGCGAAATAATAAAGTTGCTAACTAAATAAAAAAATACCGAGGACAGAGTGAGAATTAATCTGCGTTTTCCGCGTGGCAGCCCAGTACTCTACCAAAAAGTTATGCCGACACTTAAAACTCTGTTGCAAACTGACCCTAGGCAGGCTTCATGTCGGGTACGGAATCACGTTAACATGTGTAATAAAGCATTTTGGAACAGTAAAATAGCAACCAGGCATGACAATGCGAATTGCGTAACGAGTGGGTCGTTGAATGTTCAACACATGACAGAAGCTTCAGGCATGATTCGTCATCGTCAGTTACAGCATCAACAATATGCACATAATACCTCACAAGTGAGTAGCAGGTACCACACTTTTCCAAAGAATGACTAGTATAATGGCGTAGTGGACGCTTCCCTGCTACATAAAAATTAGGATTGTGGCTTAGCGGGTACCATGCAAGTAGTGGGTACCATGGAGTTGCCCCAAGAGTGTTAAAAAAAATGCTCTAGAAAGGCAACTCTTGCAGCTTTAGCTGAGACTGTGTAGCACATTCTGTGCATGCCTGGCAGTTTTTTCACACTAAAGGGCAGTAGGCTGTGAGCCCAAATTTTTTCAACAACTTGGAAAAGGTGGCTACATTTATAGATGAGAAATCTGAAGCCATTTTTGTTTCGGATGACATGCATGTTTGCATAAAAAGCTGCTGGAAAATTAAAATTAGCGAGAATCCAACCATCAGTTGCAGCTTGCGATGTTAGTCTAACATCGGTATAGGTATCACACTTTGTTGCTTTGTTTAGATACACCCTTTCGGCTGCTAAACACATGGTTGTATGAAATGAATCGAAACTAAAGGCTATCAAATTTGACTTTGCCTGAATTTATAATTAAAGCAACCTTGCAAGTATGCAAGGCTAGTAATGATATACAGTAGAGCCCGCTTATAACGAACCTGAGCGTGACACGGTATCCGTTCGCTGTATCCCGAAGTTCGTAATAAGTGAAACACAGCTTTAAAAAACGTTGCGACTGAAAACACAAACTTTTTTTGCCACAAAAAGTCCGTGATGCACGTGCTTCGAAGAGCAGAAGCGACAATGGTGGTCTCGAGTTAATTCAAAATGGCAGGGTGCTCGTTCACTGAGGCCCGTGGCATAAGCTGCATGGGGCACTGGCTCCAAAGTTTCATCGTTCTCGCAATCCGATTCCTCGAAATCGCTCTCGTCACGTACTTCATTCACAATGCCCTAATCCGTCCACAGTTTCGCAGTGTCGGCATCATCATCGGCCGTAATTAAACCATCGCAACAGATGTCCCACCCGCTCTCCCTGGTCGGAGTCGACGACGCGCTGCCACAAATCGCCCCCGCAGTGGTCCTGTTCGGAAGCTTCAGACTCGGCATCGGGCCCGACGTCGACGAAGTCGGCCTTGCGAAAGCAGTTCCGCGCGCATGTAGCCGTCACCGCCGACCACGAAATATTCACCGTCTCCACAGCTGAATACCGGGACGCCCGAAGCGGCAAGTTTGCTGCCAGGTGATCAACAGGTGTGAGCAAGCGCTACGCAACGCGGCACCTGACGCGCGGATTATGCTGAAGCCAAGCGGTCACACTTTCGACATTTTGCTGAACTGCAGGAAAAAGCGTGCTAGTCCTCCCGTCGGCCATAATGACCACACACGCACACCAAGAGTGAGCAAGACGCGCATACACGACGCACATGCCAGAACACGTAGAACAGCTCTGGGCCCATTTCCAGTCAGAAAACGAAACTAATTCAAGCCAGCGTGGCGGGCGTCGCAGAGCGGTGGAGACGGGCGAAGGGGTTGTGATCAAGAGAGGAGAGCAGACTTGTGAGAGAAGGGCAAGGAGTTGCAATAAAGAGAGGGGAGGATTCGGCGAGAGGGATGCGGCGAGAAGTCACGGGACTTCCCGGGAAACCCAAAAAGTTTTGCGGAGGAGTACGATGAAAAGCTTCACAGTTTTCAGAGGTTCTTCCTAAACTTGTGGCACTACAACAGCTACCTGCTTGGGCAAATCGGGAATGCCGATCAGACGCCTCTTTACTTCGACCTGCCTGGCACCACAACCGTTGAGAAGAAGGGGGCGAAGCAAGTTTGCGTGCTGACATCTGTCCACGGTAAAACTACAGTGACGACAATGCTCTATTACACGTCAGATGGGCACAAGCTTCGCCGTACCTCATATTTAAATGGAAGGCGCTCCCGAAAGGAGTCGTTTTTTCTAGTGGTGTGATCGTGCGGGCCAGCGAGAAAAATGGGTGCGCGTTGCAATCGATGTCATACGTTTTTTTTTTTTTTTTCCGTCGTGGAAATCGGGTGCGCGTTACAATCGAGGGTGCGGTAGAATCGAGTAAATACGGTAACAGTGATCTTTTCTTTCTTTGGCATCAGAAACAAGCTTTTCATGATGCTTCGCCACATATTTTAAGCAAAAGTTTGCACACGGGCTCCTCTATAATTATACATATGAATATTTGAAGCTAGGCCTACGAGTACTTCATTGTGTGGGTTCTCGATATGGCGAGCGCCACCACCATGCTCTTGGAGTGAACGGACACAGCAGACGCGGTCGGAACAAACCAAACAATACACACATATTTATTTAACTACTTTTGAACGACGACATCATCAGCTGAATTATTAATCAATCGTTATCAACCCCCTAAGACGTCCTTACACAATATTACCATGCACTCCAAAACATGGCAAACAAAATAACACACCCAAGGCGGCGGCGCCAACGCTTGATTTACCAGGAGGACTCCCGACGCGCAACCCGCGGTGCTACGCATCGGGGACCCACGCTAGAGACAACCGTTTGCGGCAACCGCCACACGTAGAAGAGCCCGGTTTATTTCTCACTCGCCGCTTCCAAGGCTTGTCGCCACCGGTGCTATACCATGATGATGATGATGATAGTGCTGATCAATGTTGTGTACACAACGCCACCTATCGCTCAATAGCCGTGACGCTGAAATACGGCTTCTGCACGATACACGTGCGCCACGCGGCGCAAACAACTTTACAGGGGAGTGTCAGTACCTCTACAATGGTCAGAAGTTCTTTGTTCGCATTTGACTTGTCCATAAAATTGTTTTTCGCTTCCTGTGCAGATGTGCCCATTCCTTGCCAGGCCATGTTTGGCACGGCCCTGCTGACCGCGTTGAGGCAGCAGCACAAGGCTCACCTGCACGCCCACTGGATGAGCCTGGTTATGTGTGCGCTGCCCTTTGCGGGCAAGTCTCTCACCCAGCTGGTGCTCTCCGTGGCCAGCCAGGTGTGCTCCAACCTGGAAGTGGCCGTGGCTGCACCAAGCACATCCAACAGGTTGGTCAACAGTTGCATTATGCACTATGAAATTGTTGTGAAGCTGCCAATAAGGGGGCCCCACCTGTAGCGAGCTGTTGCTTCTACTAATATTTGTTCATCGTTTTGTGCGGTAACTTGAAGTGCCACTTGTAAAACTTGCATTTGCTGTAATACTGTTAAGCGCATTATCAGTGTGGAGTCTTGCTTTGATGTTTACTACTCTCTTCGTGGTAGCCCAAGTTGATTTAGACTCTGCAGACTGCTTTTAGAAGTGTTGACGAATTCTCGAACATTGAGTGCCGTAATACTGTTAAGCGCATTATCTGTGTGGAGTCTTGCTTTGATGTTTACTACTCTCTTCGTGGTAGCCCAAGTTGATTTAGACTCTGCAGACTGCTTTTAGAAGTGTTGACGAATTCTCGAACATCGAGTGCCACTGGAGCAGCAACGAGACGGCCTGTTTCTTGTCAAAACTTTGGCTCCAGCAACACCAAGTGTTCAAGAATTATTCATCTCTTTGAGTTTCCATTTGCGATTGAACTTCTGCTTTATTTGGATTTCTAGAAGTGTGTCACATTATGGTTTATGTGGAACTTAACCTTGTTGATCTGGGTTACAAACAAGTGCCGTTCGCAAGTGATTCATTCAGGGGTACAACCATGCATTAACTTCATCTTCGAAATTATTTTTCACACAATGGCTAATTCTTGTCGTGTTTCAAACTTTTTGTATAACAAATTTCTATAACAGATTCAAGGTTTGTAATAAGAGACAAATTCTTACTGAAAGTTTTTCACTCATTATCATGATGACAATTAACTTTATGTACCGGCAAAGAAATCTCCTGTGGGTTGCTGACGGTCGGGGCCCTTAGTCCAGGGCACCACTGGCTCTTGCCATATGCTCTGCTCTTTGGACGAGTATGATTCGTTCATCGAGGGCTGAGCCGGACTGCAGCACCTCCCATTGCCCAATCGCGGTGTTCATGTTCTGGTGTTCCGAGGTCGTGTAGTGTGCACTCCCACGTAATGTAGTACAGTCGAACCCCTTTATAAGAGACACCAGTGTGCCTGCAATAAAATATGGGTTGATAAGAAAATGCAGTCGAGATATCCTGCTTTTATAAGAGACATCTAATATAAAAGACAAGAATTGCTGCCCGGAGCATGCCTTTTCTAAAAGGGTTCAACTGTACAAGGTTGGTGTGGCCCCGCACTATGGGCATTCATTCCTGTAAGATGTGGGGTGCATGCGATGTAGTATCTGTAGGTTTAATCAGTTCCGATTTGGAGTCTACACCAGGCAGTGGCCTCCTCTGTCATAAGCTTTTAGTAAGGTGGTGGACACCATAGGCATTGCCCTCTGTGATAATTCAATATTACGGTGACATACTGGAGGTCAACTGGCTCTGGGTTCGCTGCAGTCAATATAAGGGGCGCTGGGTTGTGTACGAAGCCTCGAGCTGCCCAGTCGGTGTGCAGGTTACCCGTGATGTCTGTGTCCTGGCATCCATATGACCACCACTCATTGCCAAGTGTGAGCATTTCTGCATTTATACGAGCTGTAACGGCTGGTTTAGAGATGGAATTTCGTTAAAGCGGCAATGTCAAAATCTGGGCTAGTTCATATGTTACTAAAAAAGGGGAGCGACCAGTCAACACACAACAATAGAAGATGACAGGGCAAAGTTCTTTCTAAAGTTCCATGAACGTTTTATGCAGTCCCTTGGAGCAGGAGGGCATGTCTACCTACCCGCCTGACTACCTAACTTTACTGGTCGAAGGACTGACGCTGCTGTGCCATTATTGCCTACTGGACAGTGCTGCACCCGCGGCAGTGACTCCCGTTACTCAACAGCCACCTCCCACTCCACAGGCACTTGCTACCAGTGCCAACGTATCGCAGATAATCTACAACCTCATCCACGTGTTTTCCAACACTGATCCACACAAGGTAATGCATGCCTTCTACTCACCGTTTCGTCGTGGTTACTTGTCATTGTATTCGTTTCTCTCGATGCAATGGGCCTTTTATGGGTACGCAGTTTGTGCATGCGCGTTGATGTTGACGAGGCACGTGTCCGTGGTCTTTGGTGGCCAAAACGCTACAACAGGTGCGGACGAGGTGATGTCTGGTGTCACACACTTGCAAATGTTGCCCCCAAAGAAAGGCGCTAATGTAGGGCTTTGAGGTGGACTTCCCGCGCCTGGTGGGCAATATCAGAGGCCAAGGGCCACCAGTTTTAATTTCAGTAATCACCATTACATGTGCTGTTCAGACCCAGAAACGGACCATTCATCAATTAAAAGGGGCTAAAGTGTTCTTAGTGGGAAGTGTTGCATTCCTAAATAATTTTTCTTTTACTGATCGCTGATCAGGCAAGAAATACAGCAGAACGTCGATTATACGTCCTCCGGTTTTTTGGTGACCTCCATTTTGCAATAAATCTGTTTGCTCCCGGTGAAACCCCTGTAAAATAATGTTTTCAAAGCCTCGCTTATATGACTCACAATGCAGGGCCAGCTCAAAATCGCGATGTCCATAGGTTAGTAAACAACATGGGACTCACTCAGTCCCCCTTTTCAAATATATTTTGCCCATCGGGTTCACTCTGCCTCAGACTTCTATAGTGCAATTTCATTTTTGTTTATATTTGTTCTGAGCTAACAAAAATGTACTTGCCATGTGACTTGTAAAAAGTGGCAAATAGAGACATTGAAGGACTCATCAATAGGGAAGTGCCTTCAGAAAAGAGCTCATATGCAGCAATACAGTACTGAGAATGAAGGCAAATGAAGACATGTTAATTATGCAGGTAGTTAATTTCATCCATAGCCCAACGAGTCTTGCTTAGGCTTGTGGGAATATTCGAATGAATATTGCACTGCCCGCATTTGCTTCAATTCAAATTTAAATTATTGAAAATTTGAAAGTTTTTGAAATGAACAAATATATGCATATTTGTTCGCAAGTAACCCCCTTGTAGAGGTAGCTTCACTCAGTGGAGGGGGTAAGCCATGAAAGCACTTTCCAAATGTATAGGTCACACGTGTAATGAGGTTCTTCAACTGTTTAGATAATATGAACTTCGTTGCGTCAGTGTAGACAACATCTGTAATAAAATGGTGAGACTGTTTTCTGATTTTCCGCAACATACAAAAAAAAAATAGACGCACAACAAGGACATTTTGGGGACAACGCGTTATAACACGGAAGAAAAACTCCAGAAGCAACTAACAAGTGGAGTCTCAGCACGAGAACGTATCACCGGCAAGTGCTTGAAATGTTTTGCGGGGCACGTCTGCGTTGCCGCGATGTAACACAGGAATGCTGGCACCGCAGAAGTTCAGTGAAGAGCAGGGCAACGCTGAAGTAGATGCGTCGACGGAGCAGGAAGGTGCTGAAGACTGAGGTCGACGAAGTCACGCAGCCTTCTCCTTGGACGCATTGGCCAGGGACCATAAATGCTTGAGGCCAAGCAAAGCAAGCTGCTTCGACCCTTGACCTCTGTCAGGCACTCGGGACAAAACCACGACCATGGCGCTGGCGAGAACCGCCTTCCTCGCTGCCGCCCAACACATTCACATAAGCCTAGTCTTGCTCTTTCTTATCCAATGGTCGACACAGCTAGCAAAAAAGTCATTTGCACAAATCTGTACAAAGTGCCTTAAAGAGTTAATGAATATACTGTAGACCAGTCATCTCCCTCTATTATTATTATTATTATTATTATTATTATTATTATTATTATTATTATTATTATTATTATTATTATTATTATTATTATAAGGAGCTTTTGCATACTTGCATTGCTAATGCAAACTTTTGCTGTGTAATGAAGTCAACAGGACTTGACCATCCACAATGAAGCTTTTATTCATTGGTGCAGCATTGAGGTGAAAAACAATCGTTTCGAACTACCCACATTTTCATTGCTTGTCCCTACGGACTTTTAGGACATGCATGCCCGCGAGAGCGGAAGCAGCTTGGACCCCATCCTTTCAACACGTCGCACCCTGCTGAGCAACCTTCCTCGCCTGCTGGCTGCCCTTGTGTCTGTCTGGGAGGCTGTTTCCCGAGAAGAGAAGGACCCCTTTCAGCTGAGCCCCAAGCTTGCACAGCTGTGGGTCATGGGTGCCCCCAAGGTGAGCACAGAACGCACATTCTCTGAAGCCTCCACAGACTGTATAACTACTATATTAACAAACGTTTGCAATTTAAGTTTCTTTTTTTCGTTACTCTTTTATGCTTCCTTTGAAATGTATGGATCTTGTCCCCTCAGTTTAGCTACGTATTTAGATTTGTGCCAAACATTTTGATATAATAATATATTTACGTACAAAGATGGCAAGTTTAGCATATTTAGACAAATCTTCTTTATTAAAGCAAATCGGAAAATGCCTACATGTGCTAAAGTCATGAGGAATCTCGTCTGTCTCAAAAGCTGGTTCTGTCTTGATAGCCACAGGAGAGCTTTCTTCCTTCATTGCTTTCTGACAGGTTGTGAAGCAGCATATCTTGAGTTTCCTGAGCCCCATCTCAATGACCTATGGCTCCAACTTCATGGCAGCTGTTGCCGTTGTGTGGTACGAGCGAAGAAAGAAGAACACATCTGTTCAACGCAAGGTATTACGTTCACAAGCTCTTTTCATTTTTAGACAGTCTACTTCATAGCAGTCACAGTAGCATCAGCCTCTGCAAGATAACTGGGTTTGAAAGTTTCAGATCACCTAAGTTTGCTTGGTTTGCTTACAAGCCACTCCCTGATGCTGCAAAGCCGTTGTTTCCCCACTGATGAGATCATCCTTGCGCACAAAGTATGTGGGACTTTGTCCCACATGTGACGAGGTATCAGGACTTTGTGATTGAGGGGCGTTCTCTCATCGCGAAGTCTGAGGGGAAGCGGCGTCAGCTGAGCCATCACAGGCCACGTAATTAAAAGTCGGAGGCCTTGGTGCTTTGTTAGTTTATAGGTGATCTGCTGTGGATAAATTTGATGTGACGAGAGAAAAATTAAGAAAACCGAGAAAACTTGCAGGAGAGGATTCTGGTGAAGTGTACATATATTGAAGAGCCATATGTGTCCTCAATTAAATCAAATCTAGCAGTTTAGTTATACTACAGCTATGTTTTGCATTGACACACACTAAGCAGAGCAATCATTCTCTTGTGTATTCCCTGAAACATGTTCTTATGTTGTATTTGCTGAAATGCCTCACCTACATCCAAGTTATGCCTAAAGGTCTTGCCGTGTATAAACTGTGCCTTGAAAACGTTGAAAATTGGTGTTTGCCAACAGGTTGTTTAGGAAACATTAGTGGTATGTACCTTATGACAATCACGTTGGGTGGTGTTACATTAGTGAACAACGTGTGACACTAAGATTCGGTGTACTGTTTTAGTTCTTTACCTAATCATCAACAGGGGAGGACTGGTATCACCCAGAACTTGGTTAATAAGTGCCAGACTTGTTTCTACTGTGCATATTTTAAGTAGCAATTTCTATATGTGCTTCTGTTGTGGCAGGTGATCCCCCAGTGGAGTCCTGACCAGCTGCTGTTGGTGGAACTGGTGTCGGCCATCAAGGTTCTTCCCATGGACAGTGTGGTCCAAGTTGTACGGCAAGTCATCCGCCAGCCACCTCCCACCAACCACGACCGCAAGGTATGCATTGTAGCATTGTTTTTCAGCTCATAAACTAAACCCTTGCACAGCTTCTTGGCATCCCAGAGACTTCTCGTCCCCACTTGGGCTAGATGTGCCTTAATTCCACCTTTCCAAATCCACGGTTTTGTAACAGTGCTAAGGCTTTGTCAGGCAAACAGTGGCAGCAGTTGGAAACGCTTTAAAATGTGGCAACTGATAAACTGGAATTGAAAGAAGCGCAAATCACTCCTTCTGAAAATGACGAAAGCAGAAATTGAAGAACTATTTAGAAAGAAGGAGCGTATAAGTGATGAATTCATGTTGGGACTACTGACTCAAGCTACAAGCCATCGTAACACACCTCAAAGAGTTTCAAGGGCTGTGCAAGTGGTCACAAGGTAGACTCGACAGCAGGCACGATCCGTACATAACCATTGAATGCAGTTGTCTTTATCATATCGCAACTGAACCTCGGGCAGCATTTGTTGCACTGCAATAAACTAAAGGTCATCTTATTAGTGCTAATAATGCTGGCTGGGCTTCCCCAATGATGACATCATCCTTGCGCACAAAGTATGTGGTGCTCTGCCCCACATGTGAAGAGGTCTCAGGACTTCGCTACTTGGGAGGCGTTCTCCTACTGCGGAGTCTGAGGGGAAGCAGTGTCAGGTGCTCTATAAGCCTGCATCACACTACACAAGGTTCATTTTACAGGATCTAGGCACTTCGTTTCTAAATTCATAGGTGATCTGCGGTTTCCTCCGGGGCACATCATATTTAGCAAATGTAATTTTTTTATTCAGTGCTACTTCAGCTGGTCACATTAAATATTTGTAGTATTGTTTTCTGCTAAAAGTAATCATAATGTTCTAGTGTTTAAGCTTGTAAGTGTTTGTTTAAAATGAAATGTGGTATTATGGGGCTGTTCCGAAAATGGTCTCCTACCCAGTATAGGCCTGCTTTGCCTTATTATTAGAAAACTATTCAAACAGTATTTGACTCATACTGGTATTTGATTTGGTAAAACCTCATTGCTGTTTCTTGGGTCCTAGTCAGCACAACCAGCACAAACAAGTTGTGTACAAAAATGTGTACAAAGCTCCGCAAAGGGTTAGACTGGCTGCCATGCTGCCTTATATGTACGTAATGTGCTACTAGATTGATTAGAACGAACAAGAAAGCCTAGCGAAGTATAGTATTTCCTTCTCTTTTCTAACTCTTTGCGGTCCAAGCTTTTTACCCACTTTCCGGCTCTACTGGTACGAAACCATTTTGCCAGTTTTTGGCATAGCGAATAAAAACACACACTATGGAAAAAAACTTCAGGGGATATTTATTTTTTCTCCTGCATTCTGCAAGCATACTCCTTTATCGTTAATTTGGCAGTGTATGATACTACTTATACATTCTCCTGGGTTGGGGGCTAGAGTTGTTACGCAGGTTTTGCAGAAAAACAGAGGTGTTGTCTTCACCGCTGTCGTCGTCGCCACTCACCCCTGTCGAATTGCTGTCTGGTGGAGGCACGTAGTTTTCTTCCTCAGTAAAGTCATCCTCGCTTTCGCTGAAAGAACCACCATGAAACGCAAGTGGTGAAAACGTTGCCATGCTTCTCAGCGAACCGCGCACAGAGTGGGTACGCTCTAGGCTTCGTGCGGAACATAGTGCTACATGCTAGTGTAAAAAAAATGTCAACCTCAACAAATTAAGCTCACTCATTCCTCAAGAGATGGCGCTTCATGTATATTAAAGATGCGCATGACTTCAAATAGAAAATCCACAAAATTTATACCATGAACACAATTGTCTGGTGGTGCCCAACAGTGGACTGCTACAGCCGCGTTGCCTTGTCAGGCGCTGCCCAACAACGAACCGCAAAGGGTTAAATTTCTAAGTGCGAAAATTTCAGACAACAAACACAAGAGACGAGGACAAGTGCAAGACATCTCTTGTGTTTGTTGTCTGAAACTTTCGCGCTGAGTTTAATAATGGATTGCCAACTAGCCCAATCCCACACTTTCCTTCTTTTTCTTTGTTTTTAATAATTATGTTGTGTATAAAAAAGAAGAACGAGCCCTTAAAATTTCCAATCTTTCATTGATAATGGGGTACTGTCAAATAAGGTGTGTTTTTAATTATCTATGTTTATGAAGTTCATTGCAAGTGTCGGGATTTGATCTTGACCTGAGCGCGCTTGGAAGTCTGAAAACACAGTGGCCAAGTAGATGTTGACATGTCAACTCTTTCAGAAGCGGGTTCCCCTGGAAGTGAGCATGCTGCAGTTCTTCCTGGCTTACGTGCAACACACGCCAGGCACCCAGCTGCAGGAGTCTTGGAGCTCCCTGCTGGGTCTGTGGAAGGACGGCCTTCAGCTCACAGCCATGCCCTTGGTGCAGTTCCACCTGCTTGGGTGAGCACTACAAGTGTATTGCTGTATAACAAGCAATATATATCAAGAGGCCAGACAATCAAGTGCTTCGGGGGTACGATGGGCGGACAAGCGTCCTGTTTGACTTTGTTTTTCAGGCTACTCCACGAGTTTGTTCAACGAGCACCCCTGCTTGAGGACAAAAAGGACCAGAAGGATTTGCAGGTGGGTCTGCTCATTTTAGAGCGAAAGCTGTTATGAGATCACTAACACAGGTCATGTGTGGCGTCGTAGTTGTCTGCCGCTGCCGGTGTCCGTAACCACTATCGCATGGTATAAAAAATGTACTAAAAACACCCAGGACATGATGGGATTCGAACCCAGGTGCCCTGCGTGCCAGCAGAGCATTCTACCACTGAGCTACGCCAGTGCTTGGAACTCCTTTGCAAACTGGCTTTCGGCAGGCTTGATGTCGGGAAAGGAATCGCGTTAATATGAGCAATAAAGCATTTTAGAACAGCAATGGAACAACCAGGTGGAATATAATATGAATTGCACAACGAGTGGGTCTTCGAATGCTCTAACCATTCTTAAAAGCTTGATCTTGTTCACACTGGCTGCAGGGATTACAAAAACTTATGACATAATTCTTCATCTTCGTCAGCTGCAGCACAGAAAAATTGCACAAATTTCCTTGCAAGTGTCCAGCGGGTCCCACGCTTCTCTGAAGAATGACGAAGGATGGCATAGTGGATGCCCACCTACTGCACAATGATTAGTGGCGTAGTGAGTACCCTGCAAGTGCGCTTGCAGCAGCTGCCCAAAGAGTGCTCAGAAAAGGCTCTGAAAGGCTGATTTTTCAGCCTTCGCTGTGACAGTGGTTCGTGTTCTGCACAGGCCTGGTGTTTGTTTAGACTTGCTTTTATGCAAGTAGTCCTGTATAAGAGACGAGCAGAACGAAATGAAGTCAAGCTCAGGGTATTAAATAGTAACGAAAGTTCTTCAGTCTTGACAGTTTCAAAGCTGCGTTCCAAAACTCGGACATGTCCATAGTTGATTCTGCGGGGACCTGCCGATTGTCGGGCCATCTGGGAACAGCTGTATGAAACACCAGGTCGCCGCGATGTCACCCATGCATGTGTTTTTACAAGGTGCTTAATGCCGTATGCAGCGCTTGTGTCATCATAAGTGCTTATTAGTTTGTTTTTTGGTCAGCAGATAAGGCCACAATCGGCAAAACCTGCGCGGTTTCGGCTTATGGCGAGTCCATATTTTGGTATACCGCGATGGTGCAGCAGTTACGATGCTCGGCTGCTGGCCCGAATGTCGAGAGTTCAATCTCGGCCGCAGCTGGTCGCATTTCGATGGAGGCAAAGTGGTAGAGGCCCGTGCACTGTGTAATGTCAGTGCATGTTAAAAGCTAAAAATTTCTGTAGCCCTCCACAACAACGTCCCTCATATAATCATTCACGGTTTTGGGACGTGAAGCCCAGATATTATTAAGTAATCTTGGTTTCGATACACGGGGGTGATGGAGAGTTGTGAATTCCGTATGATTGAGGAACTCTGATAGTAAAGTTGCACCTTAATTGAGCTAAGCTAGCTTTAGCCACCATAATTTTCTAAAGCCTTGTTCTAGCCTGTGCATTAAGGGGTCATTTAGTTACACTAAATATATTTCACGAGCAGTTTAATGAGAATTGCTCTGCTTGGATCAACTTTTCGAACGTAATGCTGAGGTAGTGCATTTAGGAGTTCACTTGCTCAGCGCTGTTTTCATGTACAGGACATAACTCAGAAAGTGATAGAGGCATGCAGCACTGTGGCAAGTGCCAGCTTGGAGCAGACAACATGGCTTCGTAGGAACCTTGCCGTTCGGCCAGGTCCCCAACCTGACATCATGGGCAGTGATGCTGACGCTGAAGGTTTGTGCCTTACTGTACATTGCATTTACAAGGCTCTGGGAGTAACTAGGAGTGTAAGATTTGTGTATAACTTTTTAGTGTGACGTTGTCTCTGTCTACGCTGTCCACTGCCATCATAGTAGTAGTAGTAGTAGTAGTAGTAGTAGTACCGTAAATTTCAGAGTAGGCACTCCTACTCAAGCAAGTGACCCCCCCCCCCCCCTTCTTTTTTGAGAAGTTTCCAATATGCACCAATGACAGGGGCGAGCAATTGCCCTTCACCGTCCCCTCCCGCTGTTCTCGCTGTTTCATTTGCTACTTTAGAAACAGCGAATGCTTGCGCATTTAGTGAAGCATTTCATTAGAACCACAGGTGTTCATTTTTTACACTTAGCGGTGCTTCCTCCCCCCCCCCCCCCCCCTAACACTCCAATACTTGAAAACTTGTCTGGTTTTCTTTCAGTGTAAGGAGAGCTCTTGTTCGGGAATTTACGGTAGCAGTAGTCATGCAGGTCACATGACCAGAGGGGGAAGTCGGTAATGAAATAAATAAAAGAAAATGATGATGGCACTAAATGACTAGTATAGAAATGAGGCTAAGCTTGTCCCTTTACCCTGCGCCGTCATCATCGTTCTCATCGTAGTAGTAGATGCCACGCTGGTCGCATGACCTGAGGAAGTAGTCGATGAAGATATCAGTAAAACGAAATAAATTTTTTAGTGAAAGAGGCAGCAGCTTTGCGGTCTTATGCATTTCATTGCATGGAACTGCCTGTAATATTTTTTTCTTCCTTTCTTCAAATTGGTCATGCACAAACAAAATGTACTATGATGCGGTAAATGAGTTTAACTCCGAATTTTTCCAATTAGCCACAAACAGGTTTGTGCAGTACCTGCGATTGCCCGCAATATGGGTTTGGGCTTGATCAAACATCTTTTGCAATGTAGCTTGTTCATTTCTTTTCAATCTATATTCCTTCCTCCTTGCAGGGGACATGGTTGCGGCAAGTGAAGGCATCCTTGTAAATGACGCTGACACAACCTGAACAAGCGGCCGTGCAGCCAGCGTACAATCCTACGTCCTATGCCCAGTACAGCGTTCAAGCACTTTCTGTCCTAGCAGAGGTTAGCCAGCACTGTTTATTAGCTTTAAGCTTTCCTCATAAAAACTCTGCAAACAATTTTTCTTAGCTGTGTGAAATTAGTTTCTTTGATGTTTAATAATGCATTTCTTCAGCAGCAAGTTGCGACCTGTGTCATGGGGGGGGAGAGAACTGCTCTTCTCTTACTCAGCTGAATCTCTTGCCATTTGGTGCTAGGCATGAGAACTTTATATATCATCCCATGTTAATGAAAGAGGCCTGGTAGTGACATTTTCGCAGTTGTTGCTTTATTAAGTGGCTATGTGTGCATTGCTATGTCATTATCACAGATGTTTGATTTTCTGGTAAACTGAATGCAATATTGCTATGTGAGATTAGTTCCACCTGTTTTCATAATACGGTTGTTCAATAATTAGTTTTAATTGAGGTAAACAAACCAAGCATTCGCACAGAATGTTTGTGCAGCTAGAACGAGTGTTAAAACAGTATTTTGTCTCTTTTTCTTTCAGTTTTTAGCTCCAGTGCTTGATGTCGTCTATGTGAGCGAAGAGAAGGAAAAAGTTGTCCCACTATTGAGTGGAATTATGTTCTACGTCACGCCATACCTCCGAAACCACAGGTCAGTCTTCTGATACAATATAAGTGCACTGCACTCCGGAAATTAATTTAGAGGCCTAGAAATGTGCACGCCAGGGAACCCTGGGACAAAACGTGAGAGCCGATGATGAGGTGCAAGAAGTATGAGTGGTTAAATCTTGCATTTCTTGCCCGCACTAACATGAAACAAAGTACAACAATCGCATGTAATGGATATGCTTCGGTCACAGATTGAAGTCCATTATAACATGCCACAGTCATTTCATAACGTTCAGTCAGCAGGATTAATATATACTTAATAAATGTTGCATCTGTCTCCAGGGTTCTCGGTAGTGTGAAAATGATGGCATGCACAAAATACATGGGCATAGGCTAACAAACAGGCGCTCACAGAGGGCATGTACGGAAGAAATCTAGAAAGTTACAAAACGAAAACAAGACAAGAACTACTTCTACATGGAAGTGAATTCTTTGCCACTGAATAACAACAAATAGCTAACTGACACACTTGTATGCTCACTTATTTGGAAAGCTTCTGTTAACAAATTTAGTGTGGTAGTAGTTTATTTAGTTTAAAGCTAAGCTTCTCTTTCGAACACTTACACAGACGTTGTCAGACTCTTAGTTCGGACGAGTTTCAGTGACAGGACTCTGTGGCCTCCTGGCGTGTAACTACATAAGGTTAGTGTCCAAATGAAAATAAATGTCACCGCAGTGCAGCTGGGTGTCGCGTATTTACCAAGGTAAAGGTGCTCCACGATACTTAGAGATTTTAAAATTTTTTTTTGGGGGGGGGGGGGGGAGAGATTCAAAGTTAGGGAAGTTAACTTGTATTCCGGTTCTTACGGTAAAAAAAAATTGACATAGAATCCGTTTCAACAAGCCATGTTTATTCTGCTGCCATTGTTTGAAACATGAAAGTAGAATAGAGGGTTCACCATGAACAGTGGCCAACTTGCCCAACTTCTGCTTCTACTGCATCCCTCTAGTGTGGTCTATTTTTTTCTTGGTGCAGGGTGCACAATGCACCCAGCTTTCGGGCTTGCTCGCAACTGGTGTCGAGCCTGTCGGGTTACCAACACACTCGCAAGGCATGGCGGCGTGATGCGCTCGAGCTGCTGGTTGAGCCGGCCTTTTTCCAAATGGATCTGGTCTGCCTCGCTCACTGGCGTGCCACAGTGGACCACCTCATGACAAATGACAAGACCACCTTCAGGGACTTCATGGGTGCGTGTGTTTTCACAGTGCATGCCATGCTTTATGGAGTTATCTTAAGAGTCTACAAGCATTTTGGATGTGCATCAAAGAAATATTGAATGCTCCTGTTCCTTTCCAGCCACTTGCAAATTACTTTATGTATTCTTCTTTTTCCAAGTGCTGTGGGCACTTGGAATAACATATGGTGGGCTCTCAGTAACCGGAGCCTGAAGGGACCGAGAAAATATGTTCCATTGAACAGGAGTTCCGTTTACTGAGAGGTGAACACAAGTGCACAATACGAGCTTGTAACCAAGTATTGCAGAGGCAATAGTTCCATTTAGGCAATAGTTCCATTTAGGCAGTAGTTCCGTTTAACAGATTTCCGCTTACTGAGAGTTTACTGTAGATGATTCCTTGACGGAAAATGCCGAATCAATGGTTCGTGAGGGATTCATTTAACCACATCTTAAGATATGCTCCAAAAGCATTGTATGTTTGTTGTTTAATCTGCTGTTCGATGTATCTGCTCCTGCTATGTTTTGCCGTAGAAGTATCTGTAAATTAATAAACAAACACTTCATGCTGTATAAGAAAATACAGAAGCCGCTGTATAGCTTCTGTTTGAAGTTTGGAAACTTGCAGTATGAGATGGTTTTTTGTATGGGTGTGATTCCTAAAGTACAGAGAAAAAGAAGCATGTAAGAGGATATAAGATAAAGGGGCAACTCGCTGCTGTTCACGAACGAGTGAAAATCTTATCCGTGAATTTTTTACAAAGAGCTATGGAAGGATGCCCACACATACCTCAGAGGGAAAAAACTTATAGTCGAGTTTTTTGTATGGGTGTGATTCCTAAAGTACAGAGAAAAAGAAGCATGTAAGAGGATATAAGATAAAGGGGCAACTCGCTGCTGTTCACGAACGAGTGAAAATCTTATCCATGAATTTTTTACAAAGAGCTATGGAAGGATGCCCACACATACCTCAGAGGGAAAAACTCGTTATAGTCAAGAATTAAGGCCCAGGGCCGACAAACTTTTTTTTTTCATGCATCTTACAGCAGGTCAAGGTATGTATGGTAAAGGCAATTGTATATGCACATTGACTTATTTTTCATTGTAATAGGAGATTTTCCTAATCTGCAAGTGCGCTTCTCTGCGATGCATATTTGCCCTAATAATGGCGGTACCGGTGGTGCTTCAAGTGTAAACGAGGTTCTAGTTGCGCATGCTGGGGCTTGTCTCTTATCTGTGTCTATATCAAGATGGCTGAGTAAACATTTTCCACGTCCTAGCGCAAGCAAACTGTGCTCGGATACACTGCTTTAGTAAGAGGCTAGCTACCATAGCATGACAAACTGCATAGCAGAGAAGCAGACTTGCAGATTATTGCACTCTTGTAAATGAACTGTACAGTATTGTAAGCAAGGCATGCGCTTGTTTGATTTAAAAAATTTTTCCTTTGAGTTGGAAGAGGCAGGAAAGTTTCATTTTCGTTTAGATTGGGAATTGTAATTATGTCGCTGCTAAGTGTAATATCTTGGTGTCAGTATATTTCTACGATTCTTCAGGTGGAGTCGGTGCTTTTGTGCCTCCACAGGGCTTTGCTTTAGCTAGTTGATGTTCTTTGCAGCCCGTTTTGCAGTGGCACAGAGTGGCTCGTTGAACATCTTCAGCAGCAAGGAGCAAGAGTACGAGGTTCGGGCACAGCTGCTCAAGCGGCTAGCCTTCGTGATTTTCTGCAGCGAGCTGGACCAATACCAGCGCTACATGCCAGACATCCAGGGTACTAGAAATTATCACTCGCGATAGTCCTGTGTTTCATCAGTGAATAAATTCATTCCAGCACGACGATTGGGAATCGCTAATAGCCAATTGGGAATAACACAGGATGTCATTGTTATTAGGATGTGCGTGTCCTTTTTGTATGGTCTTGTTTCACTGCTGTAGATGCAGCGGAAATTTACACGCGCTGTTATTGCTCTCATGTGAGAGCTGTGTACTAAGGTCAGGGTGTTAGTTTTGAACAGAAGCAGCCGTGATGTATTATTCAAAAGCCCGGGAGGTAGAAGTCAAATCCGAAGTCATTCACAATGCTTTCTGTGGCGATTCGGGGTAGAATTCTATTAGGATGAAGTTTTGATGTTACTCTGTTTGGTTTCTTTTTTTATTACTAATTTAACAACATGCCAGCTTCAGGTTGTGACTGAAACCCCTTAGTGTAATGCCTTATGGGTAGTGTACGTATATAAAGAACAAATTGCCAGGTAATGAGTATGACTACCTGTGGCTCGTATTTATCCATCAGCATTTTTCTGAGTCAGATTGGTTTGTGTTCATAGTGTTAAACGTTTAATTCTAATACTACTGCCCTTATTTAATGGATATGTATGAGCACCAGTGGGGAACAGGTTTTTTTTTTTTTTATTGGCCAATATTCGATCAGCGGAAGTGAACTGCGTGAGATGCACACTGACGAATAATGTATTAGTGCTCTGTTGCTGATGCTGATTTTACGTTTTCAGAGCGCCTTGCGGAAAGCCTCAAGCTGAGCCACGTGCCAAGCGTACACGCACAGGTGTTCCTCTGCTTCCGAGTGCTGTTGCTGCGAATGTCGTCACAGCACATCACTTCTCTTTGGCCGGGTATCATCACTGAACTGGTGGGTGCCATCGTGTATTGCATCCACTGAAGTTACAGTTGTGACAACTGAACTTGCCTAAGCAGGGTACTTACAGGGTTTTTTCAGTGTTTAAAATCTCATCTTCTTAGACTTGAAGCATGGTGCATTAGAAGGAAGAAATGTTGCATTCGTATTAGTGGTACTAATACAGCAAAGTGTACTCTTGCCATTCTACTGGGAATAGCGCAGAAACTGCAAAATACAACTTGTCATGCACGTGTGTGCTTCCTTTTTTTGCACAAGTGGTTTTTAAAGTTGTGTAACGTTCAGCTACAGTCAAGCCGCGTTTAAAGTTTAAACTTTTTCTTTTCTTGCACCCCACAGTTTTTCTTCGTATACATACCGTAGAATCTCAGCAAACAGAAGTCTGTTAAACAAAACTACTGCTTGAATGGAACAAGTGCTTCTGACAAGATTGGTTTTGTGCTTGTATTCTCCAGCTTTGTTCATCTGTCAATGAATGCAACTCCTGTTAAATGGAACAATTTTTTTCTGGCCCCTCGGAACATTTTTTTTCTAGCCCCTTCAGGTTCCGTTTAATGAAAGTCTTCTGTAGGAGCATCTGGACAGTGAAAATGTTCGTTGTTAACGGACTGCCAAGTAGTATAAAACTTACCCACTGGAATTTCGCCAATGTCAAAGTAACGAATGCATACTGTAGTGGAAGATCTGTGAAGTTATAATAAGGACTTTATACATTGAGCTTAAGGGATAGCCTACATTTAAATTTATTGATTTGTTGTTTAGTCTTTATAGCATCAATCTGTCATTCATGGCACATTTCTCCAGGTTCAAGCTTTCCTCCAAATAGAGCAAGAGCTGTCCACAGACACGGAGGAGTTCAGGTGAGTGGGAATTGCTCCCACACTGCTTACAATGAAAGCCAAGTATTTGCACTTCTATCTGCAGTGTCCCAAACAGAAGGGGTTCTTCCTCTTCATGAATGCTTTATCAATATGATAAGAAACACTTAAATTTATGTTTAGACGGTGATTCTTGCTAGCATTCAAGTTGAAACATCGCTCACTGCTACGTGCTGTATAGCTCCCATGTTCCGCTAATGTAACTGTCTTATTTTGAAGCAAATGCTAGGAAAAGTACTTGCTTAACACCGATATGGTGTTTCCTTTCATGTTGCTATGCCATGTATATGTACATTAAGTGTCAAAAGCTCATGTACTTAGGATCAGAGAAAACATTGAATTTTCTGGGAGTTTATAGCCACAGCCATTAATAAGACCATTCTATACAGTCTGTTCTTTACATACATTAGCATGTGCTGCAAATACCTTCACACCTAGGTTGTTAGAACATGAGGCTTTTTCCTAGGAGCTGCAGTTTTGAACTTTTTAGACTAACCGTAGATGGCCGAGCTGACAAAGCAAGAAGGCACGTTAGATGAAGCCAGCAGGCCATCTCGCAGTGTCTGATGCACAGAGTTGGTAATATTGGGGGTGGAATTCTGCAAGTTTAACCCTTTATGCGATGCCGTGTGTGCATGTTCTGACTGCATTTTACTAACTGCATTAACCTTAGTGGGCCTTTTGTGCTGCAGTACTGTTGCAATCCTGCTGTTATCTATTTTCTGAATGGCAATGCTGAATGAAGAAATGAAAAACAACTGCTTAAGAGCTGAGCATGCTCCCTAAGAATGTTGTCGGAAAAATGGGAGTTTCGTATGGAAGTTCTATTCTGCGTGGTGAGCAGCTGCATATGATAGTTCCATTCATAAGTGCTTCTTAAGTGCTGTAGCCTTCATGACTTGGACGTAACAGCCTTGTTCTCCGAGCTTGTGTTTTGAATGCCAAAGATTATTAATTTGTAGGAGATGCTTCGTGCGTTTTTACCTCTGCATATAAACATGGGCTGTCAAGTGTTTGCTGCTGAATGCTTTATAATGAAATTTAATGAATTTAGAACCTCTCATTTTAGAAACCAATAGTGGTTTTGGGACTTTCGTTTAACCATGCTTTTCATAAACTTAAATTTAGATTGCCTTCTTTGAGTTTGTATGTTTGTTGTCTGCATTTGGAAGCTGACTACAACTGTAACATAGCTGCGCTCTGTGTTTTAACGAGCACTAACCTGAAACTTGAAAAACCCCTTTCATGCATTGCTGTTTGTGCTGTACAAGATGCTTGTGCAAAGCTTGCTGCAACGTCCCTTTTTTTTTAAAGCCATGCTTAATGACCTGACCTGCAGTTCTTACATGTCTCTTTGTCCTGTTTGCCTTTAAACTATATTTCTACTGGCGGAACCAACACCAAGCAGACGGAACCCAAGGTACTGCTATCTGTGCATCCAATTGCACTCCTTGCTTTTTTCTTTGTTATGTGTGTGTTTGTGTGTGCACACAGCGATCCACTGTTAAACACACATCAGAGGGAACATCAGAGTGCACGACAGCCACTTCGCTGAGATTTCTCTTCTATTTCTTCTTTAACAGTGGATAGTTGTGTAGAGGTCTGTACTAAATGAGCGTGATTGATATTTAAATCATCATAACCTTTGCATTTGCAAGCTTGGCCTTGTCAAGATATGACTATCCCAAAGCTTGTTTCTTTTGTTCAATTGTTCATTCTTCTTGGTGGTGAGACAAAAAGCTTTGCTTCATAAAATGCATACAATTTCAGATGGGCTTTGGAGTTAGTAGTTATAGTCGCATCATCATATGAAAGCTCATTTTAAGAAATAATACTCCCTCTTTGTGCTATTCACAAAGCAAATGATAACAATTTGTGTTTAGTTTATGGTAAACCTGTCAGCCAATAATAACGATCCAAAACTTTAAGCAGAAGTGCAGTTGAATCTTGGTTTATTGATCACACAGATCTATGTTCATATAGTAGTTACAGTAGGAACGGCTTTTTAGTTATCCCTTCTTTCAGAAAAGATTGATAACTTTTCTTCTCTGCAGAAAATAACAGTGACATATGCTGGCAAAAATTACTTAAAATATTCCGGCACGTATGAGGTGAGAAATACGAACTAGGCGAACAATACATTTAGTACTTATGCTCATTTAATAAAACGAAGAGCAGGGGGGATGGGGAGGGCAGTCTTGATTTTAAATGATTTCACAAAGTGATCGATTCTAGGCAAGAAATGCCTCAATAGTATGTGATCTCTTCTGATAGCAATATTATGCCTAACAATAATAGTTACAGTGAATTTATTATATAGTATTATGTAGGAACAGTTAGTCTTAGATGCATATATTCGAATAGCAAACTTCATATAATAGTTTACGTAGACTATGATTAAACAACCAGGTGACAGTCATTCAATTGAGAGCATATGCTGCAAGCTCTTAGGTCGATTCACAACCCATCATGAAAGCTTAGTAGCTAAGGCATTGAAGCGCAAAGATACATGTTCAATTTCCGGCCACATGGGGCTGCATTTCGGTGGAGATAAACTGCAATTATTCCCATTGGCTTAGATTTAGTTCCACATTAAAGAACCCCAGCTGGACCAAATTATTCGGAAGTTTTTGATTGCAACATACTTTATAGAATTATATTGCTCCGCCTCAGTGGTCTAGTGGCTAAGGTACTCCGCTGCTGAACCACAGGTTGCGGGATCGAATTCCGGCTGCGGCGGCTGCATTTCCGATGGAGGCGGAAATGTTGTAGGCCCGTGTGCTCAGATTGGGTGCACATTAAAAGAACCCCAGGTGGTCGAAATTTCCGGAGTCCTCCACGACGGCGTCTCTCATAATCATATGGTGGTTTTGGGACGTTAAGCCCCACAAATCAATCAATCAATTCATAGAATCATATTGTGGTTTTGGCTTGTAAAGGTTCAGAATTCAATGCTTTTTGAGCAACCTACGAGTAATTTATGGAGTACCTTCAGGCTTCAACATCTTTTCTGTCATTTTTGTGCGGTTTTGTTTCAGCTTACTCTTCTTTCGTTGTGTGCATTGAGTAGATTGATGAATAATGTATCTCATGCTGGCACGCAGCTCGCACCTGCGCAGGCTGCAAGGCCTCGACAGCAGCTGGGCAGTGAGCAATGGACTCAATGCCCACAACCACCCAGCTTGGCTGCAGCTTTATCTGTCGGCCTGCAAGCTGCTCGACCTGGCTGTTGCCCTACCTGCCGACATGCTGCCCCAGTTTCAAATGTGAGTATTTTCAAAGCAACTTGCAGAACAGACGACTGTAGTGTGGGTCAGTTGGTGGCTTTGTACTCTCGTTACACACAAGCTACCACGACACGGCAACCATTGAACCAGTTTGCGATAATGGATGGTGCATGGAGTTGTCTAGTCTTCATACATGCTGGTTTTTTTAGACAATCTGATGACATTATTTATTGTGCTTTCGTCTTGTCTTCCTAAATTTCTAGGAAATCATTGTACGAGTTTAACGCTAACTGCTTTGGTCAGTTGCCAATTTCGACGCACACTATGTATAGAGATTCTCTGCTTCCGAAAAACTTGTATAGTTGTGAAAATGACAGGAAGAGAGGTTGGACCATACTGATATTTCACATTTGGTCTATAGTTGCAGCGCTACGACATTCAGATAGCATACTTGCAATGCCAGTTTGAATTTCGACGTTGCTTGGTAACTCCAGCAAAACGTCGTAATTTTGTGATGTTTCTGAACCATACTTCTGAATGATAAACGAGACGCTCATCAGAGAAGTTCTAATTTGGACAAGTGTGGCCATCTGGCATTAACCCATCAACATGTCTCTTACAAGAAGGTACATCATGTCGTACATCATCAACGTAAGATAACAGCGCATTTTCTGTAGCACTTCCAAAGAAGGTGAATGCTTCAAAAACCTCGTGTAGCTGTATCTATCGAAGTGCGTAGGCAGCCATAAAATTAGAGGCTGGTTTCCCTGCCTAGGCTAAGGTAAGCGCAAGAACTTGCAAACATCAAGACATTGTTTCGTGCCAGAAGTCCAGTTTCAGTTTGTTTTTAATATTGTGTACAAGTTTCACTTGATATAGTGAAATGGTGCATGTTCTTAGCTCTCATGCAAACAATCTCTAACTGCAGTTCAAATTAAATCCTGGCTATTATGAGACAAGAAAGAGAATTCCTCTTACATGTTTTTCTCGATATTGTAAATATTCTGTAACTAAAGATTACTAAATAATTCAATATTGTATACCAAAATCAGTGCTTTTCTTAACGAGATTTATTTCATGACTCTCATTGTACGAACTGTGGCAGGTATCGGTGGGCATTCATTGGCGACAATGCCCCACTGTCACACGATGGCACCCAGTCCCAGCAAGAGTCGCAACCTAAGGGCCAGCATGAGTTTGTGCCTCACATTGTCCGGCTCGCTGCGCTCATGAACAAGAATGTAAGTTTGCCACTTTCACGAGGATGCGTAGCACACGTAGCTCTTCTCCACTCTTTAAAACTGGGCACCCATAACGATGAAATATTGTGTCACATTATTTGTTGTTGATACTGTGTACATTTTCTTTTCTGAGCATGGCATGCCTGCCTTGGCATCACACTAATGTTCTTGATGGGAATGTACTTGGTTGAGAGTATTAAAAAGGAGCGCATACATCTGGTAATAACCATTGCATCGCAGCAAGAACGTCTTTGTTACACTTTTTTTTTTTACTTTGTTACACTATTTTTTTTTAGCTACAGAACACTGTTAATTTCAACCATGCGGAAGTTTGAAGTGCTGCCCCTCTATAATGGAGAGCTTTTTTTTTCTCATAGGCACCGTGGTTGCGTCATCAAAGGCTTTGTCCCAAGATCTTGCTGGCCATAAAATAGAAAGTCGTTAAGGGAGCAAGCTAGCCCTGAAGAACAGTTTGAAAATCTTTAGTTCATAGCAAAGCTTTCATATTAGATGCCTCTTAGACGTACCCCTGGCATAGGATAAAGCGGAAGTTTATTCAGGCTGAATGTTTCACAATTCATATAAATGACTCTAAGGCAACAGAGCAACAAAAGCTGCACTTCAATTCTTTTTCTATTTCTGTAACGGCATACTTACCTCCTTTCCATTTAGAATTGCTGTAATGTGCATCAGTTTCAATTGTTTTTTGGCTTCTCACGACATGCTAATTTGCCATCTTACTATCGTTGCTTACAGAATCCAAATTATGAGAACCCACACTACAAAAATGGGCGTCCTCTGCTCAACCTGACCTCTATAAAGTCATTCTACGACCTCCAGGGTTTTTTCAACAGCCTCATTAGTGGGTCTAACAACAATGTGGATGTTCAGTGTGCCTTTGAGAACAGTGCATCCAACGCTCGCTCCAGCGAGCTGTCAAAGTCTCGCTCGGCGCCGGAGCTTGCAACCATGGCACTGGGAACTCAAGTGCCACCAACTGAAGACACGGTCTTTCAGACAACTCTCCAGTGCGTGGAGCACATTCTCGAACTCGACTTCTTAGAGCCACGCCAGTCGTGACACAACCGCAGAAATGTCAAGAATCACCTCGGTGGAGAGCATGCGGTTTTTCTTTTTTACTACTATCACTACTACTCCAGCTTGCTTCTCGGGTCCATGGATTGCAAAGCTTTCTTGGAGTTTCACCTTAGCTAGTCACGACGTTACTTTCATGTTCCACTCCATTGCGTAAATTTTATACTGTAAATATCTATATGTATGTATTGTCGTTATTGATTGTGACAATGCCTCGTTGTTAGATCAGATGAACGCTTCCAAAATGCCAAGAAGCTTATTTTTATTGTCGCTAATATGATATACTGGTATGTCAAATCGCAACGTGGCGTAATCTGTTCTGCCCTATTGTGATAATTCCATATGTACTGCTTTTTTTTGCACTTGATAAAGCTTTGCGGCACCTGATGACTGGCTCTTGGGCACATCTAAACTTGACAATGCAAAAGGGGACTTGCTGATGGTGGGTAAAGCTCAAACACCAACCACTTGGTAAACCTTCCTCAATGAATAATTGATCATGTCTGCGTGTAAAATATGTATTACTAATAGCTAACTACGGTGCAATGCCTTTACAAACACAAAGTGATGTGCTGCAGAAGAACCTGGGTTGGTGCAAGCAGAGTAGCGAGATTTGTTGTTTCGCCATAATTTTAGGTTTGTGGTGTCCCGAACATTTTAGCTTGTTACTTACGATACATGCAAAAGCTGTTGTGTGGCGAGAGAATTTTCATATATTCTGCGACGTTACAGAGGTTTTTGTCTTTCAGTTGAATTGTACATCTTTTATTTTTAAATCCAGAAACTTAGCCACTTTTATTAGTACACTATGAATGTTACAGTGTCAACAGTTACACAAGATACACACACACACACACACACACACACACACACACACACACACACACACACACACACACACACACACACACATTCTTTTGTTGACTGCATAGCTGGAAAATGTATATTTTGCTACATTAAATATATTTTGCTCAGCCTGCAAAGTCTGCCTGCTCTCTCCATCTTTTCAATTTTTCGTGTTGACTGTTGCCATTGTGAGAATGTTTCTGCTTCACACAAGCTTTTGATTTTATTCAGGCGTATATGCAAAAAAAAGTTTATAAATCTTGTGCTGCTTTATGGCAACTGCAAAAGTGATTTGATCAAACTTTCTGTTATTATGGCATATGGCAGCACACACCAGGTTACACAACGAACGTGCACCACACGAAGGGACGACACAAGCGCGAAGGCGTCCCTTTTGTGCGTGCTCTGGTGATTTGTCCCTTTGTGTGCTGCCATATGCCATAATAACTTGTCAACTAGCCCGAAAGTACATTTTCTTGAAGAGTAAATGGGCACTTCACCGGATGTTTTAGTTATAAGCAAAAACTTTCATGCAAGGTTTTAATATGTTGGGGAGCACTTGCAAATGTATGGTATTTATTATAAATTGAGACATAAAGCTGGTGTTACAATATGCCCAAAATATGACAGTGCAAAGGGGGCAGATTGATGGTTGGTAAGGATGGATGACCGTCATTAAGAGATGAAAAAAAAAAAAGTTTACTCGTAACTTAGTAGCAGTAAATGCCAATCCAATACTTTCATGTAAATAAAATTCGTCGCCTTTCTCAAGAATGCATGCTCTTGTGTGTGGATGCGGCCCCAATCGCACTTCACTAATTTTTAAATAGACCCTAGAAAGATTTTTCTGTATATCCATGACTAATGTTTTTTGCCAAAGTTTAGGCTTAAAATTCTAAAATAACGCCTTTATTTTATCTTTCGATATATACCTGTGACAATGAAATAACTCGAATGGTTTAAATGTTTCTTTGCCAGAGCACTCTTTAAGTGACACTTTTACATTCAACAAATGGTGCATTGTTCATAGCTCAGTGCATTCTTTAAATTGTGTATCAATAACTATTATGAGCTCTGTACCGACCAAAAATGCTGCAATTTTATGTTTTTCACAACTTACCAGTTTTGATAACAGTGCCAACAGATTCTGCTTAAATTTAAGTGCTGATTGAAGAACCCCATTTGGTCAAAATTTTCAGAGCCTCCCATTATGGCATATCTCATAAACATATCGTGGTTTTAAGATGTAGGGCCCGAACAGTTATCATTGCCAACAATTATTTATCTGGTACGTATGTTGAGTTGTTTTTTTTTTTTTTGTCATTCATCACAAAGGGTGAAAGAAGAATAAAAGTTTGTATTTGCAAAATGAATGGTTGTATCAGGAAAAAAAAAGTTCCCAGAGCTAGGAAGGAAAGAGCCATAGAACTTTTTTTTTTTGAAGTTTAACAAACAAAAGGTGTAAGGTAATGGCAGAATGTGGGCTGTATTAGAAATTATAGTTGCTCAAAGTTATGAATTCTCTCTTTGTAAGATCGTTCATGAAGGGAAAAATAATGCTGGAAATGGACACAAATGTTGCATTAGCTTAGCCTTCAGGTCAGCTGTTGGTGTGTGGAGTAGCGCTACAACTTAATCTTTTCTTGGTCCCCTCCCTCTGCCCCTAAAAAAAAAACAACTTACAAATGTTGAAGCTCCACCTTAAAAGTTAAATGCGCAATGGGGGTTGTGCGTATATGAAATACCACTGGCGTGTGGGATGACACAAAAATGCCTTTTGGCTCTGTTAGCCTGCTTCTGTTGACTCTGGTTAAATGTACAATTTCAATTTTTCAGCCATGTAATACATTAACTGCATTGCCTCTGAATGCAGCCTCACTCGCATCAATTAAAATTGTGCTGTGGCTTATGAGAAAATCTGATTACCACCCTACTGCCCCACGTTGGCCGCCAAATTCCAAAACTACTCCAAAAGTAGGGTAATTAGCCTACGGTGGGCAACCCTGTCCTCTAAGCACAATCCCGTTATACTACAGCGACTTCAATGTAAACATTATGGACCTTAGGACCTAGGTGACTCTTTACGTCACTCAATTTACATTTATATGGGGCAACGCTTGGGTAGCATATGTAAGACAAAATGTTTTAACAATGGATTTAACAATGGATCAGTCATAATTGTGACAATACAATTTAAAACATCTACAAGCACAAACCCTTTATACTAGTCGGCGCCTTCAACCTAGACATTATTTACCTTAGCATTTAGTTTTGCCCATTCGTGATTCACTGCGTGGAAGTGCACGAATTTTTCTCTTTTCCCTTTCTCCTCCCACCTTTTTAAAATTTATGAAACCTAGCGCGCACTTAATCTTTTCATTATGCACAATCTCGTTTAGCCTGGTTATCTCCCACTTCAAAGGGATGAGGCAGCAGACATCATCACAGCCGTTTCAGTGTTTTAATTTTGCAACAAGTTGAGGCACGACTGCCTCGCTAAGTGGAAGAAAGGAAGGGAGGAAAATAACTTTATTTTGGTTCTGCGGAATGCAACTGGGTCACCGACTATGGACAGCAGCGCATTGGTGCCTTCCACAACAGCCATCGTAGACAGGCGCCTCTGTTCATGCAGCACTTTATTGCCATTTATGGTAGTGGGATGCCCTCACCACTTACCCTAGTGGTGACATTATCAGCGACTGCCGCATCATTGCAAGTGGTTGTTCCATGCCACGGAACCTGTCTCTCTGGTGTTCCCTCTTTGTCACGCTCTCCTCGCTATTGCTGTTACCCTCCACTGTGCTCCGCATTTGCTCTACCTGTTATTATGATGCTGTTAACGCAACAATGGGCACCTAAACGATGCACTCCAAAACTTGTTTACTATAGGCGAACTTGCACCCCGAAGACTAGATGTGAAATCTAAGTCCCTACACATAAACTGTCAGTATGACCAAGACATGTTTTCTCTCAAGCGTCGCAGGACAACTCACATTCTTGTGTGTGCAAACTGTCATAAGAAGGGTGCACAAGCATGAGGCATTGCAGACATTAACGCAGCAGCGCGCTGGCTCTCGTGGTATAGACTATTTTACCCAAGACACATGGGCGCTGCCACCTTGGGCTGTTAAAATTTGTTTTGTTTTTGCAATGTGAATTAACAAAGCCATGAAACATCTAAACTAAACCATTTTCATGTGGATGTGTCAACCTTAACACTGTTTGTTTACTTGTTAAATATGCAAAGCACTAATGTTGACAGCACAACATGGAGTCACTGAAACCCATCCGTAAGGCAGTCTATTATGAAACCTTTTGAGGCAGTCCCACTTCCGCCCTCATTGTTACGCTGATGGCGATGCCACTTAGCGTAGGAATGGGGGCTTAAAAGCCGAGCTCTATAACGATGTTCAGTGTGCAATTCAATTTTTGCGACCATGTTACACATTAACTGCATTGCCTCTGAATGCAGTTCCACTTGCGTCAAGAAGCAGGAAGCTGCACATCGATAATTGAGATACTCAAAGTGTTACATGGAACTTTGCCCTTTAACGCTCACTTGTCAGAGAATGTAAAGGGTTCATCCCACTTATGCTCCTGGATCACCAGTGAAGTTTTCGGGTCTTTGTGTTTGGCAGTGCAATCGCAATGTTAGTGTCCACACATGTGACCCGTAGTACCAGATTGAATTAACATATCCGCCACATTCACAGCGTGGGCTACAACCTGCTCCACATACAAAGCACCGTAGTGTGCTGCATGAGGAGGCAGTGGATGAATGAAAAGCATGCAGTCTGAATTCCTGGTTGAACCGCTACTCTTTTAAGTTTCACGAGCTGCAAGTTTCATGCTCATATAGATAAGAAACATCCTAGACCAACTTCATGACCCTGGATCGAACTGAGCGCCTCTCATAATCATATGGTGGTTTTGGGACGTTAAACCCCACAAATCAATCAATGAATCGAACTGAAGTGGGTAAGTAACACAGCAGACTGAAATGGGCACAGGTGCCACTTTATTCACGCACTTGAAAACTTGGCGACGTTGCCCATTCTACAGCTCTTTATGGACATTTTATTTGCACATTCAACAGTGGCAACCTGGCAGGAACCACTTCCAATAAATAGTATAGGACTGCAGCAATGAAAAAAATATATATATGCTGCTGCATGGAACACTGGGAAATTAAGCATGGCATGGTTGAAACACTCATACACATGAAAATAAATCTGTCTGGGTGGTAGACTAGGTAATAAAGGTAAGCTTTGGAAATTAAAAATGCGATAGAAAATTGTGAGATTTCATCAGTGGTTGCTGCTGTCAGAGTCGTCCGTCCGAGCGTCTCGCATCAGCCGCCGCCAGCCCTGAGTTCCAGAACCTGCATGGGAGGAAAGGGGTGCAAAATTTAAGGGCTTGCTTTCATTGTTAGACACACTATTAATGAGAGCTAGCAGAACCTGCCTTTGGCATCACAAGAGGTGAGCAATGTGGCCGCAGCCAAAACAAAAAATGTGCACAACTCACATTAGAGGTACAAGGCTGAGTCACAGCTGAGCTAGTGGTCCCCCACCTTAGTCTGAGCATGGCTCAATCAGCATTATTAGGCCACATGAAACTATCTTGAGCAAATTTGGTTCAATAACACAAAGAAATTAGTCTAATTTGCTCCAATTAGACTCAACTCAGTCAATGTAATCAGTATTTTCTTGAGCTTGACTTCACTAGCCTCTTTGAGAATTCAACTTGCATTGCCCACTTTCTGTGGCTCACACTCATTCCTGGTGATATTTTTCTGGTGACACAAACTAATAACAAAAAGCCATCAGCTCTGCTGAAAAGCAGTAAATTAGTGTAGTTATATATGGCAAAACTGCTCTCACAATCACTACAAGCACCACCGAGCCAAAAGCTAACCTAAAAACATGGCAACATGTACCTGAAGACCGCAGATGGTTTAGCGACGCAAGCATGCGAATCATGAAGGAA